TTTGAAAAAAAAAAGGGATTTTATACGAGTAGACTTACTTTTCAGTCTACATTTTTTAAAAGGTTGGTTTTGCAATTGACCAGAATTCGATCAGAATTTGACTTTTAGAAGTAGACCTATTATGCAGTCTACACTTTTAAATTTATTTGAAAGAGGTTAGTTTTGCAATTGACCAAAGTTGACTTTCTACGAGTAGACAAAACTAAATGTCTACGTAACTGTAGACTGCAGTAAAAGTCTACACTATAACCCGACAGGTTAGTTTTGCAATTGACCAAAACAAAATAGTAGACTTCTTATGCAGTCTACGTTTTTTTTCTAAGTTTTGTAGACTGCATATGAAGTCTACACGTAAAGTAAGTTATTTTCTTAGTTTTGTATACTGCATATGAAGTCTACACGTAAAGTAAGTTTTAGTCAAATACAAAAGAAACCTATTCAACGAAGTCAAAGTTTTGGTCAAATGCAAAACTGACCTTCCGTAGACTTACCTAGCAGTCTACAAAGTGTAGACCTCCACGAAAGTCTACTATGGTAAGTCAAAATTTTGGTCAAATGCAAATCTAACCTGTTGTATGTAGATTTCTTAGTATGTCTACCAATTTTTTTTGTTTTTGGTTTCAAAGGTAAAGATGTTGACGTACTTGTAGGTCTACATTACAAAAAAAATTATTTTGGTCAATTGCAAAAGTAACCTGTGCGTTGACAAGTAGACTGCATCGTAAGTCTACACGTATGTGTAGACATATAATACAGTCTACTTTCGCGATACAGATCAGAGATATGACGAAANCAAGCTTTTCCACCGTCCAGAATCCAAATATGAGCAAAAGAAGCAACCTTTACGATCCACTTGTGGATAAAATCGAAATTATGAAGTTTGTGTTTATGAAAATGAGAGTTATGAGGATTGTTTAGATGAAAATAGAGAGGAAATGAGAGGAAATGAAGTATTGTTTGTTTAGAAAGTGAAATAAGTGGTTGAAATTTCAAAAACACAAGCTTAAAGAGCTCATCAATGGTGGTTTTGGGTGGTTGCAAATATTGATGACAATGGCATTATGGTAAATAAGGAGAAATGTTTAGGGTGTAATAGGTTTTTAATAATTTTCGAAAATAAAATCAGATTTAAAAATAATGGCAATTTGGTAAATAAGTGGAAACATGAAGAGAGTTTAGGTTTTTTAAGAGTGAATAGTAATGGACAATAAAAAAGAGGTTGGTTTTATGTTTAACTTGAAATTTTAGGTTGGTTTTGCAAAAACCCCTTAAATATTCGATAATATCCTAAAAGAGACATGGCATATGGTAGTTGCTCCACCGTAGGAAGTTGTGCGTGTGGACCGCTTCCCCGTTGAAAATATGTTAAAAGTTGCCATCATTCCAGAAGGGGTCCTTTAGATATTTCTTAGAGGAAAATACTTTCAGTATGCATTATAGCTCTAAATCATTGCTGGGCATAACAAAATTACTATAGAACTTGTGGATTACTGTAAAACATGTGGAATGAGTACAAATCATTAAGGATAAGTAAAATTAGTGCAAAACAACCATAACACACCACAAAACAATAATACAACCGTAGATATAATATTAGAGCAACCTAACGAAACAAATTGTTCTTTTTGATCTATAAATCTATTTTAAAATCATTAACATCTAGTATTTTAAAACAACTTAGATGTATATATCATTTACATTTACACGTCGAATATGGATGGATTACAAAGTTGTTTTAGCCTGCTGAAAATTTCGAGTTATTTAACATTTATGTTTTTTTCTAAATTTAGTTGGGGGTATTTTGACCTATAGAAAGACATATATTAATTTCTAAATAGAGTTGGAATCCATGGATAATTTCTTTTTGGTATTCAAACAGACCAAAAATAAGGATCCGTATCTATGTAAATGCTTAAAAGTAATATGACTTAGTTTTATATAGAAGGTGAATCATTATGAAACGTGTTAGTATCCTAATCATTATCACTTGACCACAAAATTCCGGATTTATGTTTTTGTTACGTCTGCAATTAAATGTTACTTACTGAAGATGCACACACATTTTCTTTCCATACACTTGCGAAGTAATAATATCATTCAAAAGGAATTTTACAAAACAACGAGCTTAACATATACGAGATCCATATGATCTTATACATATGTAATAAATCGTATTTTGTTTTATTTTAAATATAGCTTGAATAGTTTATTGATTTCAGATTTTGAATAACCTTAAATGTCTTAGAAATGGTCTTAGAAATGTGTGGACCACTAGAATCTACTATAGCAAATGTTAGTTTGGAAGGTTGTCAATCAATAAGATCCTAGATAGTTCAAAATGTTCAAGTGTTTTTAAAAAGCACGATATATCTGGTTCGCTTGATTGAAAAACACTCATTAAACAACTTGCACTTAACAGGGGATCATTATTCATTACAATAACCCTAGGAACCAAGTTAGCCAAAGAATCAGATTTATTGTCTTCTTGTGGTGTAAAGACAAACTAAATTCTGGGAAATAGTGTATGATAGTTGAGCGAAATCATGCAAAATACAGTTGATCGCTTTGACTGAAGGGATAGCACTAGTTATTAAGATGAAATAGTGACTTATCTACAATATTCAATTCATCAGTTGTCAAAGGTTTTCATGTGTATATGCGTTTTTATGGATGTAGTTATGTTGTAATGATGAAGATGAGGTGATGCTGAACACTTTCATAACCACAAGCCGCAATTAGCAAAATTATTAAGTGGGATTGAAGATAATATTTTGTAAACTCAAGTATCTTAGTAATATCAAATATATAATCATTTCTTTTGACATTCTTTATATATTGTAATACCGACTATAGAGAGAAGAAAGATAAACTCGTTTGAGTAATAGTGGTAACTGATGTTTAACTGAGAAAATATTTTAAAATTCTCTATGGCCAGTGATTTCATAATTGATCTTCTTATTATATTGTTAGGGCGGTGGTGCCTATTTACAGTTGTTAACTTGATAACTACATCTTAAGTAAAAAAAATATATATATATATATATATATATATAATATAAGTTCATCATACTAGTTCACAACATGTGTAGGAGATACACTTGCAATGTGTTTTTGAAAATATTTTTCTTCATATTTTAGGCAAAGAATTTCAGAAAAGGGTGGGTCTGGCCCATCTCACACTATTAAACCCACTAGTCACGGACCGTTGCATTTCAATGATGATTCATGTTGCTGCCTATATAATCGCTTCTTACAATAACCTCATAGCAACAAAATCTATATAAAAAAACTTATAGAAAAACATTTATGAAAATGATTAGAGGGTGCCTGTTAGTTTTGTTCTTTTTAATCACTGTGAAGACTTCAGTTTCTCGTCCATTCGCATGGTCTAAAGGTGACATGCAACCAGGCCAAAACTACCAAGGCGAAAGTGGGTCGGGCCGTGGGCCCAATTGGGATTACAACTGGGGTTGGGGATCTGCTCCAGGATCCGGATGGGGTTACGGGTCAGGTTCCGGTAGATCGCCTACGGGATGGGGAAGAGGATCCGGATACGGGTTTGGATCCGGATCCGGATCAGGTAGCGGATATGGATATGGCTCTGGAGGTGGCGGAGCACGTGGTGGTGGGTATGGTTACGGTAGCGGAAATGGTCGGTCCGGTGGAGGTGGATATGGTGGCGGTGGTGGTTACAACGGTGCAGTTGCCACTTTGAGCCACGGTAGTAAGTCTCATCCATGATGACGAACTTGTAAGTTTCTCCCAATATAAAAAGGTTTTGGGAGTGGTATAAGTGTTTGTAATATCAAAAGGTTATTAGGTTTGGTACTAAAACGTAACTTCCTTTGTCTTGTATGTTTTATATATGGACTATGTGCTCAACGTATCTTATAATGTATTTGCATGTGTCTCTAAGTGTAAGGAAACATACTGCTAAAACTTTTAAAAATTCCAAAAGAAAATGATACACCCTCCAATTTCAGAATATTTGTCGTTTATTTTTTGTCACAAATTAAGTGTCGTTTTAGAGTTTCGATGCAGAATTTATTATTTTTATATAATATTATATTTTTCTATTGGTTAAAAATTGGTTAAGTGTATGGGTAATTGTGTTTTTATTTTAAAATATGTAAAATTAAATGTTTTCTTAATCTGTGTGTAAAAACCTAGAATGATAACTAAAGTGAAATAGAGAAAGTATATTTTAGGTTCTTCTGTGGAACATCCCTTATAGCTACACAATGAAAAAATATAAACCATAAGATTTATCAGTTAATGGTCTGTATAAGATATGAATCCATGTTTGATATATCTGCTACATGCATATATATAAACTATACATTTATAACAATCAAGCAGCAGCGAGTTGTTTCTTGTTGCGATGAGTAGTTAAAGAGTCTTCCTCTAGGGTATTCATCACAAGCTTGGTTTCAAAAGATCTTCTGAAAGAGGGAGAAGGTTCGACAAACAGTGAATTCATTTTTGTCAACATAACCATCTCTCTCTGTAGAAAAGAGCAATAGTTATTGAAAGTAGAAACGGTAACGTTTAACTGAAACCCTATTCCGAACAAGAAATCAAGCTCAAGCATGTTCATCTCTTCTTTGCTTATTCCTCCAACTTGAGCGTAATATCCATTGTTGTAACACCTAAAGTTGATTATATAAAAAATTATAAATAAATCAAACATCTGCTGATTAGTGAATTTCAACAAATTAGCTATTTTGTATCTGTACAATTCAGCTTCATTTCTAATGAGAAAAAAAAAAATTAGCGTCAGAATGATATTACTTACAAGTCATCCATGAACTTAGCAGAGACCAAGATACTTGTGATAATAAACCTATGAACACTAAAGGAATTGATGAGCAAAAATGGCTGCTTCTTGACGAACCGATCCAAGTATATATATGCGACGATGTAACACGAGTGGCTGCAGTTTGCGTACTTGAAGATCCTCTCGAGATAGCTTCTGATTGAAATGGAAGGTTTGGTTAATCCATAGAAGCCTGAGATCCTCTGTTTGTGGCTCATATGGTCGTTGGTCTCTGATACCCTTTGCAATAGATACGACATTGCTGTTATGATATTTGGCATGATCTCCGCCATTGGTTCTTCAAGATCTTGATTCATTGTCTGGATCTGAATCTGATCGAAATAGAAGAAAAAAGCAGAGCTCTCTTTGACGAGTTTATTACATTTACGTGTTTTAGTTTCTGTCTTTTGCCCTGTCATTTGGAGTGTTTATATATAAGGAATGAAAGGTTGTGACTCATATTGTGTTTGATTACTATATACATATTTTCCTGTCTATTAAAATATATTGATATGTTTTCTTTCATTATCTTGGTTTATGATATTGATAATTCGAGCGGTATTTAAAAATTTTAAATCCTGCTCTTAAATGTAGTAAGTAAAAACTCAGCAGTTAATTCTAGATAAATGTATTTGAATTTATTTGTTACAAATTTACAATTATGTGTTTAGCTATTGGAAATTACAAAATATGATAAATAAATATATTTCTGTTATTTTTTTGACTGAAAATTTTTATGTTATTATTATTAAGTTAAAGTAGTAGACAACTGATCCTTTTATGCTTCGAATATACAAACACCAGTTTTGCGTACAATAAATTAACTATAATACCATCTCTGTTAATATAAAGTTGGAGTATTAGACAACTAATAAATTTTAAAATATGATTTGAATATAAACAACACTTTGCGAACATAACTCCATTGACATGCATATTCTCGAAATCAAATTTTTAAACACGCATTGAACTACATTTAAATTTGATATTTAGCTTCATTCGGATACTCAAGAATAGTTTTGAATTTACCAAGTCGCCAGTGATTATGATAATCCCATGGTTAAACCAATAGGCCAAGAAAACTATTACTAACTTAACAGACTTCTGGTGGTTAAGTGTAATTCACTATAACTTAGCTTCCAAAACAAGATAAAGAAAATTGAAAGGATTAAAGAAAACAAATATGGAATTCCATTGAAAATAAAGACTTGAAACTTGATAATTTTGGTCTCAATCATTGGTCTCTCAAACATACATGTTAAACTTTTCAACTATCGAATGAACATGAACTGGTTTACCGTTTACGTATATGCATTTACTTGTATATATGTGTGTGGCGTCTTATAGGTAGGGTAGCTCATATATAGCTCTAATACACATGCTCTCCATACACGTATGATATTATGAAATGTATAATAATATTCTGTATAAAGATTTTTGCCGAAAACCAGGTGATGATGTTGGTCTAATGACAACGGTGGGTTGCTAAACAACATAGATTCGAAAACACCTCACTACATTTCATCATATGGTCACACATCATACGGTCACACGGATATGAATTCATTGCTTAAAATCCATCGTGTGGTTAGCGACTAAGATTTCTTATGTATTACCTATATATCATATGTGGAACTATAATACATACATGTCCTATTCAAGTTATGTGATGCCGGGGGGTTTAAATGCAATAATCATTGTTGTCATACAATTAAAAGATATTCATAACCCTTAAGTTTTGGTTTTAGTTAGGAGGATATGATTATGGGGTGTGTTTGAGAAAGAACATACAATAATAGTAACGTAAGAGTTGGTTTTCCCTAGGGTTTATATTGATTACCCACCAAACTAATTTTCCCTTATTGTTACATCAGATTAATCTTTTCTTATAGACTTTACTTGAACTTGAACCTGTGAGTGCAAAGATAGTGAGATAGTCTTTAAGCAGTCTAATATACTGAATATTAATTTTAGTGAGGTCATACGGTTAATACAACAATTAAACGGTTAGAAACCATCGCAATTTAACGTTAACTTATAGCAAATGATTAATGTTCACGAACGTCAACTAGACAAAGTAATTAAATCGTCAGACCACTCACACACAATGACAAATCTTTAATAAGATTTCTTTGGAAAATATTAATTCTATAATCAGTGAGTCCCATAAACAGTTAAGGATTATATCCTTAAAATTCTTATTTAAGGATATAATCCTTATACTATTCGCGGATTCCACTGCCTACGTGGTGGTTCGTGAATAATCAATTTTTTTTTAGGAAGAAATCCGAAATGACCTTTTTCTTTTTTCCTTAAGGACTCCCCTGAACTTCTCATTATGGGTGCTCCATGCTCTCATATGTGAATTGTGTTAGTTATTTTATGTAATATTTTTTTTGTGGTTAAACGAACCATATTTTTCCACGAAACTTGTTTTAGTTGACGTTCGTGAATCCTCGAATAGTATTCTATGTATTAAGCTTAAACAATAATATTTATGTTCGACGAATATGTAACAAAGCCAATGAGCTTTCAATCATAACTTAGCATAATAGCATCTTTAAAATTGAAATAAATTTTTTGGGCGATAGAGGGAAAGCCACGTAAGAGAGTTGCGAGCCTGATCTACATTCGTGCTATTCACGTTAGAGCTAGGGGGTAATGAACAACACGTACTTCGATTATATAATCTTTTGCATTTTGTTATTGTTTATCTAAGCAGATTCTAAAGATTTTTCTTATCACAAGATCACTGTCGCCTCTGTCTTTTTCACTTGCTTGACTCCCACTCGATCATCTTTATTATTCTATTATCTGTATGATATTGAACGGGGGTTATAGTTATTCGTATTAGTTGCCACTACATTAAGATAAAATCCATAAACCAAAAATTAAAATCAATACAAGAAGGAGAAACATACAAATCCATAATGTTCAGCTTTTTTCACTTGTAGTACGTTAACTGGGACAAATTATTCACTACAAACTGTCAAGCACTATGGCTTCTTGGTCTAAAAATTAATTTCCGTTTGTACTCTTGTGCCAATTTCTTTATAATAAAAAAAAGAAAACATATAAATATATATAATCAATTTTTGATCTGAACTTTTAAGATAACTTTGGAACAAAAATAAAGAAGAACAATCCATAAAATACTATAAATTTTCTAAGCACTCAAACTTTTATCAACACGACAAGTTACATACACTAAGTAGCTAGCACCAGTTTCTTTATTCTCAACGAGAATTGCAATCTCTACACACAGCAGCTAACTAAAATCTATAGGTAGGTGAAAGTAAAATCCTCTGCTTTTCGTATAAGAAGCAAGGCTTTTCACCCGTAGCAACGGATTGGGTCGTTGCAGCCTTTTGCACTGGATTGTTTGAGTCCGAACCTTCCTCCTTTAGACAAGTATTGCTGGTTATCTTCCTCAGCTCGGTAGAATTTCTTAGCCGGTAAGATCTCTGTCACAATCTTCCTGTCCACCTGTTGCTGATGACGCTCCAGTGACTCTCGTGCTAGTTTCTCTTGCTCCGGGTTGTAGTAATATATCCCTGATCTGTATTGGCTTCCCACATCGTTTCCCTGATCAGTTAAAATGATAAAAATCATTAAGACAGTAACCACATCTAACATATTGCACACGAGAACGATTCTGTAACCAAATAACAAGAACAATGGCCAAATCCATATCCACATGAATACATGGAAACAGGCCTCGGCACATTTATCCGGAATCGAGGAACTGAACCATATCAAACCGAAATAAACCGAATCAAATTTCATGCATATCCGATATCTCTAGAACCAAAAAAACAAAACTGAACCGGAACCGAATGGGTATCCGACTTTTGTAAGATATCTAAATGGTTATTAAATTTCTAAAATCGAAAAACCAAAAACTGAAACCGAAAAACCAAAATCTGAAACCGAAAACCCGAACGCGATGGCTACATGGAGACATGAACATACACTAATGTGCATCTCTATTCAGCTATAACCATCAAACCGAAAGCAATACTAACAAAAAAACATGAAAGCATCAAAAATTATTTCCCTTTCTGTTACGTTATGTTTCAAAAATGATCTAATTAATCTACAAAACACATATATAGGTTTCAGGAACTATAAGCAAACCTAAAACCAGGTTTCATGATAAGAACATGGTCGGATTTGGACACAGCCGGAACGAAACATTCGCATTGGCCCTCAAAAATTTTAGAAATATTTAAATTAGATATAAGCCCCCAAAATTTTTAGAGTTCTTAAGAAATGTTAATCTCAGCTCGTGCTCTGGATAAGAATCAGACAATCAAAAGAAAAAGAAAAAAAAACCTTACCTGACGATTCAAGGTGGTGGGGTCATGCCGAGACCAAAACAATTCAAGAAGAGACTCAAAGCTACACTCTGTAGGATCATACTGAACACGAACAACCTCGACATGGTTCGATGTGCCCGAGCAAGCATCCTCGTAAGAAGGGTTATCCGTGATCCCTTGAGAATATCCTACCTCGGTATGAGTCACTCCAGGAACCCTCTGGTAAGCTAACTCTACGCTCCAGAAACAACCGGCGGCGAATTGAGCAAACTGGTTTCCCGGCGCCGGAGCGTCGGTGTCAGGACCCTGTGCGATCGGAGAAGGTTCCGTGTTGGTTTGTCTACTGGTACTGGTTTTTAAACCGAGCTTGTTAAGTATATTCATGGTGAGGTTTGGAGAAACAGAGAGAGAGAGATAGAAACAGAGGAGACTAACTAGTTAGGTATGTCTCGGCTTGTGCTTCGGTGTGGTAATAATAATAACTGATATTTTAAGTTTATTTAATTACAAAGGAGGTACAAATGTTTGCGTTTGTTTGTTTTTGAGCCTTTGATTAGCGGTAATGACAAAATGGTCCAAAGCTGGTGAACAAGCCATTGGAAATGGTCTTAATGGAGCACTTTTACTTTAAAACTGGATATAGAGTACCATTGGAGCACTTTTACTTTAAAACTCTATTTTAGAGTGAAAAATAGAGTGGAGTTGAAGATGCCCTAGGAACCCATTACACCACTTGGGATTGAAGTTATTGGAGTCTATAGCTACTCTCATTTTTCGCATTGTAACATACTAACAGTAGTAGTATAGACTATAGGGAAAACGGCCAAAAGCACCAAGAACTTGACATCTCCATTGTTTTCATACACGAACTATTGTTTCAAACCAAAACATCGCGAACTAAGTCTTACTTTGAATTTCTCGTATGAAATTTTCCAATCTGGTTAACTACTACATAACTGAAATCAATTTCGGTTTAGTTGCTGATGTGGTGCTTACATTGACCTCATGTAGGAAATTGGTTTGATTCGGTTTGACATCTGTCCAATCTTTTAAAAAATCGAATAGTACAAAACGATGTCCTTTTGATTATGGTTATGTAGTAGTTGACCGGATTGAAAAAGTTCATGCAGAAATTCAAAATATGAATTATTCTGTGGTGCTTTTAGCTTGATCCAATAGTTCGTGTATGAAACAAATGAAGATGTCAAGTTAAGAGTAGTGTTTTAGGCCGCTTTCCCACAAACTATAATTATCATTATTGCAAAATTCAATAGAAATAAAAAAATAATCTCAAGAAATTACTTTCGTCACCCTGACAAGAAGAAATGAGTGAGATATTGACAAAGTCCTAATATCGATTCAAATGTACCAAAACCATAGGCTATATATTAGCGAACAACGAATTACTAAAAATGTAACAAATAAACAGTTCAAACTCGTTTAAAAAAACCATCAACTTACTACAAAAAGCATTTTCTATACAGTTTTTGATAACAGACCAAATAAAACAAGGAATCAAAAAGAAGAAAAATCAATATGTATAGATCTGCAAGTTGGAACCGTGGGACGGAAGACTACTCATCTGCACCACCTAAAGGGTTGTGGATGGGCTCCATGATTGGTTCCCTTGACGAGGACGAACTACCTTCGTACAATAATCCACCAGAGGAGATGATCAAGAAGGAGAAGTCACGTGCCAAGTTCGCAGAAAACGCTATTCACATCATTCCTTTTGTTCTTCTTGCATGTGCCCTCGTCCTATGGCTCTTCTCAAATCCAGGTATATATATAGGTCCACAACCTGTGTGAGCCGAACATGGCCAGTTTACTTTACAATTCTACATGACTTATTCTTGGGAAATTATCTTGTGTACCAAGCATAACGAAACATTCGTCTAAGCCCTCCAATTTTTTTTTAAAACAAACTACATTGATATAGGTCTTCAAATTTATTTAAAAAAAATGTCTCCAAATTTATTAAAAGTTTATTTTATCAAAAATCTTAAAGCCTTCAAATCCCAAGGTTAGTTCTGTTTGTATACAATATCTGTTAATGATAATAATTTAATTAATACTCCCTCTGTTTCAGAATATATGTCATTCTATGCTTAATTTTTTTTATCACAAATTAAGTGTCGTTTTAGGTGTATAGGTAAAATTATATGTTTCCTTAATCTGTGTGTAAAAACTTAGAATGAAAACTAAAGTAAAACATAAAGAGTATAAAAAGATATCTGTTGATATTACAACCGAGTAATATTAATAAATCGAATTTTGTAGATGTGGATGTTGGGATGAGAGAGGAATCTATTGCGGCTAGGATTGAAGGATTGACCATCGAAGGAGACATTGACAACGACAGCGATGGAACTCAGACTGGTTTCTTGGGAGCCACCTTAGAACTCGGTGGTGATTCAGACAAACTGCACCAAGTTGATCGGAACAGACGAGCTTCAAGGAAACTGATCAAAGGTTTCTACTAGTTAAATCAAAAGATTTGTTTTGCTTGTTTTTATTTAAGTCTTGCTAAAACTATGAATGTTTGATTATGGTTAATGAAAGGGGAGCTAAATTTAAATCCAAGTATATTTAAACTTTTACACGAATCTGGTTAACAAAACTTCTGAATATAAAGGTATATATTCATATAAAATTCATAACTAAGAAAACAATTAACACACCTGTATCTATAATAGATATCAAAAAATGTCATTTCACTTCACATGAATGACTCCATGACCTGCCAAGTCTGTTGCTCCGGTAGCTTGTGGAGGAGGAGCAGGAGGACGCAGACCGATATCAAGTTCCAAATTGTCTTTCTTTGCTATACGAGAAGCATCATTTGCCTGAGGTTGAGGCATACCAATCGGTAAAGGCCTTGGTACAGGTATACCGGAAGGGTGAACATACCTAACCGATTCAGGATTGGCATAGTAGTACATTGGATGGATCATAACAGATGGAAAGTTGTAGTAAGGTCGCACGGTTGGGTAGATTGGCATGTAATCCATTGATAGATTCTGAAACCGGTTTGATATATCAGTTTGGGTTTGAACTTGAACCGGTTCTTGAGATCCGGTTATTTGTTCTTTAGATGGAATCTTGGATGATGATGATGTTGATGCATCTGTTATCATCACTTGAGTGTTCTTCTCTTTCTCCTTCTATTCAAATTAACCAAAATTTAAAACCCTAAGAAATGAACAATAACTTACAATTAATAGATTACTTGGGAAGCAAGAAAAAAACCTGATCTAGAGAGATGTCAAAGAGACTAGCACGTCTTCTTCTCTTGTCATTAGCATTTAACCTAAGAAAATATTTCTGAGCATGACTCGCGACTTGTGTTGGTGTTCTTGTCGTCACGAAACTCTTAGCGATTCCTCTCCAATCTCCTTTTCCTAGTTTCTCCAATCCCACCAAGAAGATACGATGCTCTTCTTCAGTCCATGGCGTCCCTAAAAAGTTTTAACTCTTAACTTGTAAAACAAGTCATCTTCTTAATTTTGTAAAAAAAATAATATTTTCATCGTTGGAGAGATTAAAGAAAATTTTTACCCTTTTTCTTCGCATGAGGGGATCTCAACTTCTTAGAATGAATCTGACCATCGGAATGATAACCGGTTTCTTCAACGGCGGTGATTGGATCACCGTTACCGTTACTAATATCGTTAGCAAGAAGCGCATCGAGATGCCCTAAACTGAGACTCTTCCTTAACGTCGTTACCTCAGCTGGTGACCTAATCGGATCAGACGATATGTTAACGCCAAATAGTTTAACGCTTCCTTTTTTAACAACGTTGTTAAGACATGTCCGTGCGTTATGACCATTGTGGCCACAATGTGAACATGTCTTCTCCGTCGTCACCATCTCTCGACGACGTCACGCAATCTCTCTCACGATGTAACGAAAATTGTATTTATATCTTTAATCTCTGCGTGTATGGTTATAGATATTAGATATATATACGATATTTATCCGAATATGCTGAGCTGTTTTTGAGAATGTATTAGGTGTATTACCATTTTCTATTTTCCTTAAGAGATAATGCGTTTCCTTAATTATCTTCTTTTATTTGGAAGTTTTGACCGTTGTTATTATAAGAAAAAAAAATCCAGCAGTATCAGCGTAAGATCATAACCAACGGTGTAGATTATTTTCCAGCTAAAACATGTAGGTGGATATTAATTCCGGGTATCTAGTTGATATATTCCCAAGATACCCAGATTATCAATATTAATCCTAGTCTCAATGCAGTTGAAATTTACTTTTATCTTAATCTATTAAGATAAACCAATCCTTAGAAAAAGATATATGTAAAACACATGTTAGAAAAATTAAGGCAACGTCCTTTTAACACGCACACGTAAAATCTGAGGATGTTTAATTCAATATCCCATGTTTTCTATTATTTCACGGAAAAAAGTCACTATGACAAGGAAGTTTCACATTATTGGTTTCCTTATATCACATTTCGTTGCAAAATAAATTAGTTTTTGTACATGAACTAAATGTTCATTAGCATATATTTTCACCAGCGAATTAAATTAACTTTATTACACCTTTTCATCTTTAAGAAAATATATATTTGAGTAGGAAGTTAAATCTAGATTCATGTATGTTCCAGGTCAATATTAATGTTTGGAAACTTTGACCGATTATAATGGAAGAATCATAGTCATGCTTGCTTATTTAGGAAGATTATTTCCAAACTTGAACATCCAATATTATGGTTGTCAAATTTTTAATTAAAAAATATTGCAAATTTGGAACACTAATTATCTCGCTCTCTGCTGATTGTTCTCTCGGTTACGCATCTTGTCCCTTGTACTCGTCACCGCCGAGCCGCTGGACGGCAGGAGCTCTTTTTCTAACACTCAATTTGTAGCAAGAAGGGAGGATTTAATTTCTCTCGTGTGAGTGCCCTTCATTATTTTGTCATTAATTGTTTTTCTAAAATCATTAAAGTTCTTTACCATAAACCACGCATTTGATCTTTGAGGTTTCAAATCGTGAGAGAAAAAGAATGAACGTTATTGACGACCATGAGATACTTGTCGATCCGTCGGTAGCTCCTCATGAATCATCAAACTCTTGTCCTTTGAACTTTTTTCCTTCTTAAAACTTAACTTATTTTAAAAAGTTGCAAGAAAATGAAACATATGTTGCACCGCGATTTGATTCTATATAGAAAGCGCAATCCATTGACATTAGTATTCTAAGGGGAGAAAAATGTTTTGGGGTTGAGCACCCCAAATAATGTGGTTGTAGTGATAGTGTTGTCTAAGCAGCATATAAAGCAGGTATATTGTTTTCTAAAAAATGATATTAAATTAGTGTTTAATATATCGTTTTACATCTACTCTATTAAAATAGAGACATTCTTTTTATCTACTGATACAAGTTGTCATTTAAATTTAGACCATTTTTAGAATGTTACAAATAATACAAATCATATAGTTAAATGAACCACATTACTTAAATTGAACCGGCGGTTATTTATGGGATATAGTCTTGGACTTTATTTTGTTTTTAAAACAAATTATATGGTTTGGTTTTTGGTCTTAGTATTAAGGAAAAACTCAAAAAATCATTTAAATTTAGACCATTTTTAGAATGTTACAAATAATACAAATCATATAGTTAAATGAACCACATTACTTAAACTGAACCGGCGGTTATTTACGGGATATAGTCTTGGACTTTATTTTATTTTTAAAACAAATTATATGGTTTGGTTTTTGGTCTTAGTATTAAGGAAAAACTCAAAAAAATCAATTATTATTTTCAGGTCCAAAATTTAATATTTTTAACAAAACAAATTGTCTATTATTAATCATTTATTTAAATCATGTACTTTAAAACATGTTAATGTATTTTTTATTATAAATAACAATCATTTTTTTGAGAAATTTTAATGGTAACTTTTAAATAATTTATTGTTTTATTTTTCTTAGATAATTTACAGATTTAAAAAAAAATATGTAAATCAAAACCAAAAACCAAATCTAAAAACTAAAATCCAAAACCAAAAGCTAAAAATGCAGGTTATATTTTTTGCTTTTGTTTATTTACAAAGTAAACTATTGCAAATTCATCTTTTCATTTTAAATTAGATGTTTGATTATTTGAGATTTGTTTGTTGGTAATATCAGTTCAAACTAATTCAGCGGGTCTAAAAATTAAAAACCCAAACCAAAAGCTGAAAATCAAAAATATAAACTTAAAAACTAAAAACCAAAATTTAAAACATAATCTAAAAATAAAAACTGAAACACCACAAATTTTGGTGAACTGATTTTATACCAAAACATTCTTTAAATGAAGACAAAACCCAATTATATAAATTTTTAATCATAAAAAATTTCTGCGCTTTTTAAGCGCGGATTAAAATCTAGTATCAACTTAAAATTGCTAGCAAATAATGTATAAGCGTTCGCATAGTTGATATAAATACTAAAAATGCAAGAAATGTTGGATATATAAAACAAGTTGTTTTTTTTTTTGTAACATATAAAACAAGTTGTATTTCTCATATGATGTAGCATCATTTTTTTTACAAAAATATGATTTAGGTACTACTACAATGTTATTACTCGTAAAGATGTGGATAAGCATAACTATAGTTGTTTGGATAGATGTCCTATATGAAAATGGTTTATGTAGTTTTTGTCGCGCGATGTTAAATATTTATATGCTAAAGCTCCGACACGAGGGACTTTTTGGTACTCTTTCATAAAAATAGACTGCACCTTGGCAGAATCCATGGCGAAACGAAGTCGATGAGATCTTTTCAACGTACCTGGATCGCAGCGGTTGGAGCCAATTGAATTTTGCTCCATTAGTAAAACCTACCATTAATTTATAACACCAAATGAAAGTAGCACTGAGTTAATGTTACTAGTAAAACCATCATTAGAGTATGATTAACCCCGATTCTTAAGGCAAGGTTCTTAGTGGAAATTAAGAAACTGTTTCTTAATTTTTAACTAAAAACGCTAAGAACTGATTCTTAAATAAGGATTTTAAGAACTGATTCTTAAATATGGATTTTAAAAACCGATTCTTAGCGATTTTAGTTAAAAGTTAAGAAACAGTTTCTTAACTTTCGCTAAAAACCATGCTTCAAGAATCTGAGGTTAACCATGGTCTAAGTGGCAAGCTCTAGCTTAGTCTCTCACCGATGTTTTAATGAAATTAAATGTAAAAAGTAAAAAGTGAGAGGGCATAAAGAAGATATGTATGCTGCTGGACAAATGATCTCTCTCACAATTGAGAGATTAAACTTCAACGTGTCATCTTCCTATTATTTTACTTTCTTTAATTTTAAATTTTAATCAAAAACGTAATTAATATGATTATTTTATATGCTAGAAACGCATGGTGAGGTATTTACCACTAATCATGCTCTTAATGTGAATTAATAAAAAAAAAACATCAGTGCTATAGTACCTTTGATATCTCAGGGATTAATGGCCTTTCCTCCACATGCTTGATGACTTCTCCTAGTGATATATCTCCCTCCGCCAGATTATGATCTCCTTCCGACAGTTTATCTTTCTCTGACAACTTGTACTCCTCCGCCTTGTCTCTTCCGGAAGGCTTAATTTCCTCCGCCGTCTTATTTCTTTCCGGCGGCCTGACTTCCTCGGGAGGTTTATCTCCTCTCGACGGCTTGGAACTTTTATCCTCGTTAGGTCGAAATCGCGCATGCATAATAGATCTAGAGTACTGATCTTGTTTCCTATAAGTATATCACACATAGATACAATTTTTACAAACGCTAAAAGAAATGGTGATCTAGTTACGAAATAGGTCTCATAATACTGCATATCATGTGTGGCATACGTTTATACAGAATCACAACAAAAGCAAAGTCTATATTGAACGAAAATATAATGAATATTGTATTTTCTAAGAAAATTTAGTTTACTTCTACATAAATTATTAATCTTGAAATCAAAATCTACCTACAAGAATTTATATGATGCCAATACATATGTTATATGTCATCCATACGTAATGTGGCCTAACCACACATGTAATGAATTAACGAATTTATACACGAAACTGACGCAGGAATGCGCGTATATATAAATCCTTATATATGGAACTCGAACTGCAAAATGTTCCAAATTATATAATTTTTTGAATAATTCTCTAAAATAAACTTTTTAAAATTTTTATCACAAAAATAAACTTTAAATTTTAAAATGACCAAAATAACATTTTTTATTTTCAAATTTTAATTTTTTTATATTTAAGAATTTGAAATTTTTTTCTCCAAAACACTATTCATCAATTCTAACAAAAAAATATAGAATTAATTAACCAAAAAAATATAAATATAAATTTATTTATTTTTAAGATCTATAGTTGTGACCAAAAAAAATAGATCTATCATAGGAAATTTCTCTAATTTTTTTCTATTAGTTAATATTTTTACAACAAAAAATTTAAGTACTTAATTAATTCCTTGTAGAGCCAGACGAAGAGGGCGATCACCGATGCTCCAAGCCTACCAGAAGCTAAGAACCCTGTGACCAAGAAACTCGAAGTGATAACCGCCGTTACGAGGATCGGGCTAAGAACTACAAAAACCGGCGTCATAACCATTAGCACCACGGCCGTACCGGCGAGTGCTAAACCGGTGAGGATCATGATGAGAGGTACGGCGGATATACCGGCATTAGCTGGTTCGATTTAATTATCTTTTGTGCCATTCCAAAGGAATGCATTTTGTCATTTTGTAAAAAGAATTTTTATACGATTCTGAATAAAGAGTAGGGTCCAGCTTTGGAGGAGAAAAGTATAGGGTCTACGTGTACGACAAGTGTCTGAAGAGGATATTTTCATGCATGCAATTGTGACATTTGCGAATGAAGTTGCTCTACGTCACGTTACTTCATTTTATTTTTGTTAAAGCGTTACTTCGTTTTTTCACGTCTTCTTTTTTGCCTAGTTCGTTTTTTCTTCTTCCGTATAAAACTAAGATTAAGAAGAGTATCAAAGTGATTATTATTCTGTAAAATCAACTATATGTTAAACTCATAATTGGTTATTAATTGTTATAATTATTTTTATGTGGGTAGTCATGCAAAATTTTCATCAATTGGGTCGCTTATCCGACTATCCTAATATTTTGGACCAAAAACTTCACACTTGATTTACCAAATTTAAAACTTTTGGTACTGTTTGATAATATCTCAATCATTTCGATTACTAAATAAAATGTTAATCTTGGCAAGTTGAATCATAAGCACCTTCGTGGAGCCAACGAAATAATTAATATTTTAACCGTGGCCGTTGGCTTTGACGAGTGGTCGCGCCTTTAGTCATAATGGTCAGAAAATTCAACCATTCGTTTCTTGGTGAAATAAATTCAACATTCTTTGGTAATCTTTTCCTTTTGAGGTAGCATTCCATTAGTAACATGGTATCCTGAGAAACCAAAAAAAAACACTTATTAGAAACCAAATTCTGACATTGAAAATTGAAAGAAATCTTTAATAATATATATGATAAATGAATCGATTTATTTATTACCAATTAATTTTTAGTTGGAAGTCTATCTAATTTGATATGATATAGAGAATTTAATCTATTATCGATCCGATTCAAAATCGATCTATCGATTCTTATCCAACTATTTTGAGATTGATGTTTAAAGAGTCATTTTCTATCGAGAAGGTGAATTATCTCTGTGTGTTGCTAAAGAAATTTATATACCTTATAGATAGTTGCTTACATATGATAATAGTAATACAATTTCTGTAAAAAGATACAATGCTATTTGTAGTAACTATACTCTATTGTCTTACCATTGAAAGACTCCACGGCATGCATCTTTTCTCTTCTGCGAATCAGAATGCATCAAACTTCTTAAAGTTATATAATCTCAAAACCCTTGCTTAATTATAGACCAAAAACCTGAAACTCTGTATACATTTAAAAGTCTAAAAGAAGTCATCATGATAACTTGATTAGTACTTTTAAATGACAAAAAGTCCATGTTGAGCGAAAAAGACAACAAGGAAAAAAAAACAAAAAGATAAGACGACGAAATCTAATAGATAAAGAAACAAGTCAGAAGTCCACTACACTTCCAAACAACACAAGGTGAAGGTAGTATGATCGTTCTCGGTCCGATCCACGAAACTCCCTCGAACCCTCTCCCTCTTTCCAAACCTCCCACCACTATATATTTACCATATTCCTAATCACTCTTCTTCACACTTCAATTGTATACACAAAAGTGTCAAAGAGGGTCAAGTAAGTTAATAAAGAGTAAAGATGGCAACTAAACAAGAATCATTCATAAGCCAACACCTTCTCACAGATTCCACTCTTCATGAAACTGACCCATTTCTCTTTATCAACCAAGTTCAAGACTTTCAATTACAAACAAGCCCAAGAACCATCAACAACCAGACCCATAAACCGAACTCCACTCTTAACCGTCGTAAACCGCCTTTACCGAACCTATCCATTTCAAGAACGGTCTCAAGTACGTTAAAGAAGACAGAAGAGGATAGACACTACAGGGGAGTAAGGAGGAGGCCATGGGGAAAATACGCGGCGGAGATTAGGGATCCGAACAAGAAAGGCTCTAGGATATGGCTTGGGACTTACGACACCGCCGTGGAAGCTGCAAGAGCTTACGACCAAGCGGCGTTTCAGTTGCGTGGGAGAAAAGCAATCTTGAACTTCCCTCTTGATGTTAGGGCTACGTCAGAGAGTTTTCTTGAGGAAGGGGTCATCGGGAAACGGAAGAGGGTTAAGAACTCTCCGGAGGTGGGGGAGGATGAGGAGGCAGTAGCTGTTAGGGTGAAACTTGAGGAACAAGAAAGAGAGTCTGAGGTTGAAGCAGTACCTTTGACGCCGTCAAGTTGGATGGGGTTTTGGGATGTGGGGGCAGGAGATGGGATCTTCAGTGTTCCTCCGTTATCTCCGACGTCTCCCAACTTCTCCGTTATCTCCGTCACTTGAACTTGGGAATTGTCAACGGTTGATGACGTTTTCACTTACGTCACACTCATAATTTCTTTTATTTTTTATGATATATAAATACAGCAGTAGTGTACAAATATCAAATATCAAATTAGTAGTTTAGTACCAATCATTTTATTTGTTGATTTTTTTTTATAGAAACAGTATGGATGTTTAAAATTTAATTGATACTTTGTATTTGGCTGTGTTCTTATAAATTCGTTGATTTGTATAAAATATTCTTGGTCGTAAGTTTTAAGTCATGTGTATTACTCCCCATCTGCTAAATAGTCAATAGAGTATAAAACAGAAACAAGAAATTAAATAAATAATGTAATTAAAACACAAGAAAGTAGTTTATCAAAGTTAATTAAGAATTTTAATATTTGAATAGTAAAACACACTAATCAATGGATAGTGCCGTCTACAAGATTATCTACAAAGCTTTATGTAATCAACATTATCTTAAATATTATTTTAAAATTAAGAGAGTTAATTATTATATTCGTAAAATTATGATTAATTAAAATTAAAATTATTACTAGGTTAGGATTATAATTGTCAAGCAACTGAGGCAAGAGGGTAGGGTTTGGTTTGGTTTATATATGTGGAGCCCTACAGAGTTGAGTAGAAAGAAGGAAATATCAAGTTGCTTCAAATCATATACTAGCAAGTAGCTAGCAAAGACAAACCCTACAAGAAAAGCAATTTGATCAACTTGACAAAAGATCTTTTAACTTGTCTCCATAAATGGTTAATGGATAAGACTGGGGCTCATATAGTAAACCAGAGGGACAGAGACAGAGACATGTGACACCTCTCACACATGATTGTCAAACACATGTTTTTGATTTTTTTTTTTTTTTTTTTTTGGTCTTTATAAACACAGAAGATAGAACAAAACTTTCCTTCAAAACATCACTTGCAGATTTTTCTTCTTCTGTCTTTGGCTGCAAAAGAAAATATCTATATTTAAAACATGGAGACCTTTGAGGAAAGCTCTGATCATCTCTTTGAAGACTTGATGATCCCTGATGGTTTCATGGAAGATTTTCTATTTGATGATGCTGCTTTTGTCTCAGAACTATGGTCTCTAGAACCTGTTAACCCAGTTCCTAAACTGGAGCCTAGTTCACCGGTTCTTGATCCAGATTCCTATGTCCTAGAGTTTCTGCAGATGGAAGCAGAATCATCATCATCAACAACAACTACAACAACAGCATCACCTGAGGTTGAGACTGTCTCAAACCGGAAAAGGTCAAAGAGAGTTGAAGAGACAAGGCATTACAGAGGCGTGAGAAGGAGGCCATGGGGCAAATTTGCAGCAGAGATTCGAGATCCTGCCAAGAAAGGTTCCAGGATTTGGCTAGGCACTTTTGAGAGTGATATTGATGCTGCAAGAGCTTATGACTATGAAGCCTTTAAACTCAGGGGAAGAAAAGCTGTGCTCAACTTTCCTTTGGATGCAGGAAAGTATGATGCTCCGGTCAATTCTTGCCGGAAGAGGAGAAGAAGCGATGTAACAGAGCCTCAAGGAACAACTACGAGTACTTCATCATCAAACTAATGTGACTAGTGTTGCTTAAGTTTATACTATAGGTAAATATCTAAGTATGTGAACTATTATGTATAGAGCCAAGGATATGTTGGATTAGTGTAGTTAATGTGTTGCAAAATATGTACTAGAAAATTTCCTGTAACAATGGAACTTCAGATCAAAGTTTCAAAAAAAAAGACAACTTCAGTGTTCTTTCGTCTCTTAGAGAGCTTCAGGTTGTCAGAAACAAGTTTTTGTCCAAGAATATGTAAGACTCCGAGTTGTGATATATAGAAAGGTTTAACAGAACTGATTTGGTTATCTATGTTACCAAAGTTGACTTATTTTTTCCGTCACATATCCGTTTAGAACAATAGAGTTAAGCGTGATTGGGATGGAGTAGTGAAAATATGGGTTATCTATCAGAAAGTGATTCGCGATACCATGTAAGTGAGGCCAAAGCACGGGGGAAGGTCATGTGGTGATTGCAAAGTCAATAAACAAGTATTTCAGAACGCACCAACCATAGAACAGAATTGACCGAGAGAACGAGAATGGGTGATTCATTAGCCGTAGCCGGGCGTTATAGAATGGTTTCAGGATTCGGTTTTTAAGAGATGAAGCTTCCTGGTTAGATTTGGAGTGTGAGAATGTATTTTATTCCAGTGATACAAAAAAACACAGGGGCATTAGTATCTGATATCACTTAGGTACTAATTGATTGATATGTCCAGAGAATGTGAATCAAAGAATTGAGTAGATAGATGGCCAAGTTGCAAGAGGGACCAGAATTTAAAAATATAACAGAGAGTTGTCTCATGGTTGGGTACAAGTCAGCATTCATATGCTAATCTGACAAGGAATTTGAAGGACCACACGCAACAGCTAAAGATGGGGAGATGCACAAGTTGCATCACTGAAAATATCATCATTGAGATATTTATTATTACAGAATAAGCATTACCAAAGAGTTCTTACAACCAATGAACTACTTCATGGTTTCTTCTATGCATACACTTGATGAATATAAAAGCTGACATGTTTCTAGATAGATGAGATCTTCATGTTATCTATCTTCTCTTGAGTTTCCATGTCCATCACATTCTGCAACACTCCTTCACCTGTAAAGAAACTCGGTTGATTTGTCGATGCAAGGAGTCTAGCCCACATCCTATCAGTTAACTTCACCGTATTGGTCACTTCTGTCACTCGCTGCAGAAGTACAACAATGTCACTCTCAGTCTAAAAGTCATGTGATTCACTTTAACTACAAAGTTTTAGGACTCTTCAAGGATAAAAGCTTTACAGAAATTGGGATGTAAGCATGTCTGCTGTTAACTGGTCCAACGGTGAAACCTGAGTACCCAGCCATTGCTCCATGAACTGCACTTTGAGCAAGAAGAGTGCAATAGACATTGTCTGATGCGTTACTCGGTATTGCTCTTATCATATACGTCGGATCTGTATAGCAAATTGCGTCAATGAAATGCAAAGAAGATCATTAACAAGACAGATATATACCTATGTACTTCATGTTTATAGTCATTTTCCGAACATTTGTGAAATGATCCTGCAACAATAGTGTGATCACAAAACTCATCTCAAATGTTTTGCAAAAAAAAAAAACACAATAACTAAAAAATACCTTTATCTGTTGAGTCAACCATAGACCTACATCAAGCAAGAGTCTATTGCCTGAAGCATCTTTAGTTTCAGATGCACGCATGCTTTGAGCAACATAATCCTGTCCAGCTCCTTCGGCTATCACAATAACCATGTGACTGTTCTCTTTGAGTCGTTGTTCGATAAACTCAAAGAGCCCACCCTTTCCTTCAAGGAAGAAGGGAGACTCTGGTATCAGACAACAATCCTGTCACACATTCCATCATAGAAACCATTGTTACATCACTATATATATTTTTGACAATTTTTAACAATCAAAAGAGTGTATTACCACATCACGGTTCGCTAAAGTTGCAATCATAGCAATAAAACCTGCAGAATAATTTGCACCAAAAATAGTTAACTTCATATTCAGACAAAAGAAAGTAGTAGACGACAACATGCCACAGAATCTTCACCGCTGTATCTGCCCATGAGTTTAACGATTCCAACTCCATTTTCAACGCTCTCTACTTCTACATGTGCAGCATTAATAGCTCTCTGAGCTTCCTCAACAGCAGTATCAAACCCAAAGGATTTGTCAATCACCTAAAAACGATGTGTGAAGAAGATGTATAACAAAACTCCATATGAAATCAAAACAGAACTTAATCATTGGCTTCTTACAGCAATATCGTTATCAATTGTCTTGGGGATGCCAGAAACCGCCACAGGAAGCCCACGCCTCTCAACTTCCTTCACAGAACATGTAGCAAAGTATCAATATAATCACTTAATGCAACACACAACAACAACAACTACTAACAAGTGAAAATGAAAATCACCTGGTATATCTTCTCTGCACCCTTTTGTGTCCCATCACCTCCAATAATATACACCTGAAAAACTATGCCTCAGTTCCAAGACTAACTAATCTGGAACAAAATGGCTAATTTAGCCATCTTAGCTACCTGATTTATTCCTCTATCTTGAATGTTATCAACAATCTTCGCTGTATCATGTCCTCCTCTTGAGGTTTGAAGAAAAGTGCCACCACGTTTATGGATATCATTAACAACTTTAGGGGTCAAAGTAATAGTGTTTTTGGAGTAAAAGCCTTTATATCCTCCTTGAATGCCAAGTATATTACTAACACCATACATATTATTCAATCCACATACAATTTCCCGTATAACCGTGTTTATCCCAGGGCACAAGCCACCACATGTCACTATGCAAGCTTTTACTTCATCTGATCTGAAGTACACCTGAAAAAACAAAACTTAACAGGTTTGAGTTGCTAAAACATTTTACAAAAAGTTCCAAGACTTTTCTAGAAGAAACATTACTCTTTCTCGTGGACCTGCTCTCCTAAAGTGTACTCCTCGCTTACTTCCCTTCTGAACTACAATCTAAGAGATGAAGAAACTTAAGCAAAGCAAAACACGCACAAACTAAACAAAGACGAAATAAGCTAATAAATAAAAACATCAAGCTTACATTTTGGGCAACCACATCTTCGGAACTGACAAAGGTTCTCCTACAGAAACAGCATTAACAATTCATTACAACCCTCGAAGATAATACTAGTTTACGAGCATCTCCAACCACACTCTATTTTTCATTATAAAAACCGAACTCTATTTTTCATTATAAAATAGAATTTGTAGTGAAAATATTCCAATTTTACTCTAAACACTATTTTATTTTATAATGAAAAATAGAGTGAACCAATGGTCGCCATGTAGAAACTCAACTTACTTAACAATGGCGTATGCTTGGCTTTCCTTCAATGGATTTGGGTAAGACTGTGACATCAGGAAAAAAAAAATTAAAAACTGACGAATAAGCACAACTTTTATAAACCCAAGAGAAAAGTTTTTACCTTTACATAAAAAAAAAAAAACTCATTTTGTTTACAGAGATTAACACATTACAGACAAAACCATAACCTTTCTATGCAGTGACGAGACCGAAGCAATAAAAGTTAAAAAAAAAAAAAACCATTTTTTACCGGTAAATCAGGGAGGAATGATGTCAAGTGAGGGACGTCTTCTAGGACAAACCCATCGTCTTCCTCTGGTTTCAATCTATCAGAGAGCTGAGCTTTGATAAGGAAGTTTCGGTGCGAGATTCGAGGAAAGAGTGAGACTTTGTTTAAGGTTAAAGCAGGAACAGGGGAAGCTCGCCAAAGAGGACGGTGAAGGAGGTTGGAAGAAGGGGTAAGTGGTGAAAGGTTTGGCTTTGGAGTTGACCCAAGAAACGAAATCGAAGCTTCCATTTGTATGTTCAGGAGAAGAACAAATCCGAGATCGTGGGGGATTGAAAGGGTTGTAGAATCTCTCAGTGTGGAGAAAATTAGTCAGAGAATTTAAAATAAAAATAAAATCAGATCTTTAATAGAAGAACTAGTGAAAATATATTTTGTCGTTACTCGTTACATAAGTTCAAGAGATTTCTGATATGTTGGAAATCGATAAACAGTTCTTCTGGTAATAATGAATTAGACCATGTTTGCTCAAAAAAAAAAAAGAAGAATTTAGACATGATTCTCAAGGATTTCTGATTTCTTTTAAGTTGAGTTTCTTAGAAAATTTATTAGGCCTACGGATTTTGTCCGAACTAAACCAGCCAAATCGAACCAAACTAAAATTTTTAATTTTTGGTTCGATTTCAGTTTTGAATTTGGTTTGGTTCGGCAGAATTTTAAAAAGGGTGATTTGGGTAGATATCCTTAACAAAATCTGAAATTAGGCATTTACCCTATTTTGGTGGAGAAAGTAGTGATGTATGTGGAGGAGAGATTAGGAAGAAATAGGGTATGGAATGATTTAAGGGATTTGTGGTGTGTAGAGAGCCCAATTTTACTACTTTTAATATATTACTAGATTTTGACCCGCGCAACCGCGCGGGTGTTTATTTTCACTTTTATATACATAAATATTTATTGTAAACATAAATGGTATATATTTTTAAGATTAATCATAGACTTAAATCGTGTTGCAACCCTTTTAAAAAGAATTGCAAAAAGAAATCATATACTTAAATATTTATATAACTATTTCAAATACAATAATTTTATAATTTACATGTTATATTAATCAATTATTTAAAATCATATTTATTTGTCACTTATTATTATATATTTATCTTATTATATTTGCATTTAGGTATTAAGAAAATTAATATATTCATGAGAAAACAGTCTTTCAAAGTTGAATTTTGTTTTACCAATATTTTTATGTTTATTCATTTCAGATAATATATTAGTGTATATACAAAAGTCTAAGATATGTTAGCTTTTAGACATGTATTATATAGTTTGCTAATTTTAAGCCGTTATGTCATCATATTACATTTTTTAAAATAAATAGTTTATATTTATTAAAATAAAATTTAGACATTTCAATTTAATATAATTTTATCATATTTATTTCAATAAAATAATTATATTTTAACATGATGATTAAATTTAATATGTGATCTAATTTAAAAATTTTATTCTATAAACGATAACTTAAAATTCATTAAGTTATTGTAAAAATATTTTTACACAGATTATTAGAATTTTTAAAACTTAATATATATATATATATATATAATGAAAAGATATCATGATTAAAGCAGTTACAAAGATTTATATTATTAGCTTTAATGAAATACATATTAATTTATATACATGTATTATAAAGTTTACTAACGTTAACCCGTCTTACCAGCATATTAGATTTTATTTTTGAAGATAAATATTTTTGTACTTACGAAAATAAAATATATAAATTTATAAATTTACTACAATTTTATTATATTTAGCTCAATATAATAATTTTCTTTTAATATGATTGATTATGATTATATAATAGATAATCTGGTATAATTTTTTATTTTTCTTTTTATAGACTTTAACTGAATATATTAATGTATAAAAATATTTCAAACTATTTTTAAAATTAGTGAAATATATAAGATAATATCGAAATTGAAGATCTTATAAAAAAAAATTAAAACAGATTTGTTAGAATTTTTAAATAAATAAGTTATCTTTAAAAAGAAAAGATATCAAAAGATATTATGATAAAATTATTTTAAATATTCTATATATTATTAGTCTTAGTAAAATACATTTAATAAAATTTAAGTGATGATCAAAATTAAAAAAAAAAAGATGTCACACATGAAGTGAAGTGATGACTTCTGTTTTAATATATAAGATGCAACATAATATTACAATATTATATAATATAAATAATATAAATTACATATATAATAAAACAACACATATATACACAAATTTTAAAATATTACATATAAAATATCAAATTACTTTGTTTGGTACCACTTGTAAAATATGCAATATTTAAATGTTTATGTACTTTGTTTTCATTTATGTTAAGTTTGTTTTATGTATTTTTATTTTGTGTGAATTTTATTTAATGTATTTTCTTGTTTGTGTGAATTTTATTTTAATGTTATGGAATATTTATTCTATTTTATTTTATTTAGGTGTGCTTAAGTTATTTTAGATAAAGTTAGTAGATGTATTTAAGAAAAAATAATAATTGTAAAGACTAAAGAAAAAACGAATAGTAATTTTGAGGTTTTAAATAATAAATCTTCAAATTTGAGGTGCCACTATTGAAAACCTTAAAATTTAAAGATTTGAGATTGGATTGAATTGGAATGACAAAAATTTCAAAATTTAAGGATTTGAGATAGGGTTGGAGATGCTCATACAATATAAAAATATCGCGCACCTTTTAAATGTAAATTTATGGTAATGAATGTCATATTTATGGCAATTTTTATTCAAATTTATTTTATTTATTATGGAACTATGTTCTACAACATCTAATGCATACTCGTTTGATATATTTCATATTAAGTGTCACATTATCTTTTAAAAGTGTCACTTAATCATATTTTAATATATAAAAAATAAATTATAATATAAAATTAATAAATTTTACATGAAGGTCGAAAATGATATATATTTATAACAAAGGAAATTATCTACAGTGACACTTAATGAAGCGGAGATAATATTAGAAAAGAAAAGTGACATGAATGTTTTTCAAAAAAAAACATTTGGCATGAATGAATGTGCTAAATCATCAAATTAGGAGCTTAAGTCTCATTTACGCATGATGAATAAAGTCTAAGGACAAGTAAATAAGTTTTTCAAGTAACAAATTGTGAATGAAAAAAAATGGGAAATGTTAGATTTGATTTAAATTCACCTCCTTTTCTTTTACACGTGACACAAAGGAAACATTTACATCATAGAATATCTTTATTTAAAAAAAAAAGAATATCTTTATTTTATTTTTTTTGTAAAGAAATAAAACACGACTTTCCCATTCAAAATTCAAAGTCTACCTTTCCTTTTCTCTGCTTCAGGGGGGAAATTAAAAAAAAAGTTGGAACCTTTAGTTCTTCTGGGGCGATCAAATTGACTCTCTTCGTCGTCTTTGATCGTCTCGAGGAATTTGGGATTAGTTCGTTTCCATCGTCTCAAACGAATTAAAGGTTCGATGATCGTTTGCTTTTGTCACTTTCTTCTTTTGATTGTCCGTTAAGTGCTTAGAAGTTAGCAGTTAGCGGTTAGGGTTTAGGGTTTCGGGTTTAGGGTTTATGGTTTTTAAAAAGTTATCTCCTTTTGAAATAAAGACTTTTTTATCAAGTAATTAATTTTCATCGTTGACCATAACAGTCAAGGATGAAAGGGTCCGACTTTGATATTAATTTGAGTCTTGTAAGGTTTTGGCTTTCTGTAGTTAAAAGATGGAACTGAGTCTATACTTTGTTTGAAGCTGATGAGAGTATGAAATTGATTAGGACTATGTGTTTGTGTGTCTGGTCGTCAGAACCAAACATTAATTTGCTAAGAATAACTAATATTGAGTTTATGAACCCATTTTTTTTGTTTCTTGATTTAAAAAAAAAACAGGTTTCAAGTGTTTTGGTAATAATAGAACAATGCCTTCTCTCATCTCACAACAATGGCAGGAAAGGACTAGTGGGTTCTTTTCTTCTTCAGGTTACATAGTTTCTACACTCTCTCTGTGTCTGTGTTTTTTTTTGTGGTTGAAGAAAGGAAGGCTTACTATGATTCTTTTTTTTTTTTTACTGTGAATTAGGAACGAAGCTTAGGGAAGCAAGACAATCAGCTGGTGCTTTTGTCGGTGAAGTGGCCAAAGATGCGAAAGTGAATGTTACTGATGTTGCTGAAAGAGTTGGATCTTTGTTCAAAAGCAGGTGGGCGATTCTTCAGCAGCCTGCAACTAGACACGCCGTGCAAGAACATCTCATAACAGCTGCTGCCACAACCGGGACTTTGGTCAGGAAAGGGTTAACTGAGACAAAGGAAAAGGTTTCCGTTGGAAAGATCAAAGTGGAAGAGGTAAACAACTTCTCAAACTTACTTGGCAAGTGTATCTCGTTTCATTTTCTAACTTGTGAGAGCTAAGTTCTTTGGTCTTTGTTTTCCTTTTTAGGCGGCGAAAAAGACTGCACAAAAGAGCAAGACACTTTTAACAGATATAGAAAGATGGCAGAAGGTATTTTGAGCCTTCTTACATTTGATGCTAGCTGTTTGATTTTGAGGTTTTGTCTCTAATGTTTGTTCTTTGTAAACCTGCAGGGAGTTGCCAGCTCTGATGGTAGGATTAGTCACGGCTTATTCAGAGAATACTGTTTATAGATCTTTGTTAATCATTCTAAGATTGTCTTTTGTGCTCAGTGTTTGGTGTTGCAATTGAAGTCACTGTCCAGCGACAGGAGTCAACTAGACCTATTCCGTTTATACTGATCAAATGCGCAGTTTATCTTATATCAACAGGTTAGAACATTCCAACCAATAGTGTCCGTACTGTTTCATAGCTCATACGTTCGGATTATCTTCTTCTCAGGACTCAATTCACCGAGCTTGTTCAAAACTGAAGGAGACAAAAAGTTGATCCAACAATTGGTTTCTGCTTACAATCAAGGTAAACCAAAGCTTTCTTCTAGACTCTTATGGCTCAGAGAGTTAAACTAGTCACTTGTTTTGGCAGATCATAGCGCGTTAATACCTGAAGGAGTGAATCCAGTTGATGTAGCTGCCCTCATGAAATACTATCTTGCTAGCCTTCCAACACCACTAACTACTTTTGAGCTTTATAATGAAATCAAAGACGCGAGGTCAAGTGTAAGCAGAATGAGAAAGCCACTCCAGAAGCTTTCAAGTGTCAACTATAACACACTTGAGTTTGTAACAGCGTTATTGCTTCGTGTGAGCCAGAAGTCACAGCTCAACAAGGTATAGGAATGTCTTATTTATAATCACTTAACAACATAGTTAATAAGTTGACGTTGGTTTGTAATCGGATATACATTGGACAGATGGATTCACATAGTCTAGCTATGGAAATGGCTCCGGTGATCATGTGGAGAGAAGACAAGAGGCCTGAGTGTTATAGGGAATACTGGAGACGGCCATCGAGAAGTCCTAAGAAAAGCAATGACTTTGAAGCTGCTTCTCCATGGGACTTGCTCTCAGGTAAACATCAACAACAACAATAGAAAGCTTAGCTTTTATACTTTTTACTATAAGAAAAAGGCAGAGTTCAGTTTGGTCATGTTTATCTTTAATGGTTGACAGATGAAGGAGAAGGTGTAGATGCATCTTCATCAATCCCTCTAGATGACATCGTTCAAGTTGATTTTGGTGCGGTGGAGGTTGTGCAGTGCCTGATTGAACACCATAACGCGATTTTCACTGATGCAGACGAGACTGTATGGAGGTGAAAACAATAGCTACTGATGATTCAAGAACCAAGTCAATGGTTTCTCAATTTCTAGACCAAACCGTTAGAAGAACATAATGCAGTTTGATGTGGATGATGAATTGATGATTAACCAGTGGTTTTTAGTAAATAAGCTTTGTTTCTGTTTCATATGGTTTTTGTGTAACATTGTTTTGATAAGCAAGAATTCGATATTCTGATTGCTTCTCTCTATATGAAACATAAACAAATCACCTTGCTATTACCGCAACTTTGTAGCTCAACTTCCATAGAAGCACTGATTGTTTTTTTCTTTACCAACACCAAACCGATTAAACTGAACCGTATGTACTGGCAGTTATCTGTTCATGAGCGCTTTACCGGCTCCAAACCGGTTTAAACCAATGAACTTTAAAGTCAATAGAGCAGAGAGATAACTCCCTAACTTTTGTAGCTACTAAAAGGTCACAGCCATGGCGAGAAGCGATCTTTGGACTATTCTCTCTACTCTCCTTCTGTTTCTCCCTCTCCTATCAGTAAGTGACTTTGAAAATATCTGTTCAGATGGAATTGGGAAATAAAAATCGAATCTTTGATCACTTTACGAGGTGGGTTTCTGCTTCTAAGTCCAGATATCTATCGATTTTGCAAAATTTGAATGCTTTTCTTTATCTTTATGCTCTGAGACTGTTAGTAATTTTTTTTTTTCTTTTGTAACACTGAGACTGTTAGTATATATATTATTCATACAAACTGGGTTCTGTCTGAACGGTTTTGGTTTCAGGCAGGTGAAGCTGAGTTAGGGAAACATAAGAAGTTCCCAGTAGTGGTGAGTACTTGGCCTTTCATTGAAGCGGTTAGAGCAGCTTGGAGAGCAGTTGATAATGGAAGCTCTGCAGTAGAAGCCGTTGTAGAAGGTTGTTCCGCTTGTGAGGAACTCCGTTGTGACGGTACAGGTGAAGTATCAAAACATTTGCTTAGTGGTTTCACTTCTTTGCCGGAACAAGGCCGGTCATGAGCCAAGCCTAACAAACATTCGCCTTAGTCCCTCAAAAATTTTGAATATAGATAAAGGGTCTAAAACTATTTTTTGTCAGATCCCCCAAATTTATAAAAAAATATTAGTTCAAATCTTTCATAAATCGCCTAGGCCCCCTAAATCGCCTATTAGACACTCCTTTACTACCAATAGCCTAGGCCCCCTAAATCTGGGTGGCGGAGTGCCTACTAGACACTCCTTTACTACCAACAGCCTAGGTGGCTACCTAAATCTCAGGACCGGTGTCGGCCTTTACTACCAACAGCTTGTTGGTTGCTTCTCTGACTTTTTAAACTCAATATTTTGCTGTTGTTGGGATTTTGAGTAGTTGGACCTGGAGGAAGTCCTAATGAGAACGGTGAAACCATGCTTGATGCTTTACTCATGGATGGGGTAATAAATCCGTTTTATAAATGCATCAAGATCTTCTACAAGAAATGAATCTCAAGTCTTTTTTTTTTTTTAATTATACTAAGGAGATAAAATTTATTCGTAGGTGACTATGGAGGTTGGAGCTGTTGCTGCAATGCGTTATGTCAAAGACGGTATAAAAGCTGCATGGTTGGTGATGAAATACTCTCAACACACGTTGCTAGCTGGAGAAGGAGCATCAGCTTTTGCAATCTCCATGGGTCTTCCTGGTCCCATGAACCTAAGCTCCCCTGAGTCTGTAAAGAAGTGGTTGGACTGGAAAGAGAATCGGTGTCAACCAAATTTCAGGAAGAATGTAGTTCCTGCAAATGACTGTGGACCTTACAAGCCCAAAAATGAGGGTGTGGATGTTTCTGGAGACATACTCACTGAGTCTTGTGAGATGGGGAATATTGAGTATGGACCACCTCTGGTTGGTCCTCATAATCATGATACTATATCGATGGCTGTTATTGACAAAGTAAGGATGAGTTTTAAGCTTTTAATATATACTTTTTTGGTTGCTATGATGAGATAAAGTGTGTGTAGTCTTTTGAATAGTTTGGGCATATAGCTGTTGGAACATCCACCAATGGAGCAACATTCAAGATTCCCGGAAGGTAATGTCTTGTTTTGTTTTTTTTTTTTTTGAATAACCGGTGTATCCTGGCATCCTGACATCCACCAAGGTGGATCCTGACAAGCGATGAGTGTTTGTATCAGACTAGCGGCGAGTGTCTTGATTATGTGAAGATTTAAAGAAATATGACCTTTTGAGTCTTGATTATGAAACACAGGGTGGGTGATGGGCCTATTGTGGGCTCATCAGCCTATGCTGATGATGAAGTAGGTGGATGTGGTGCAACAGGAGATGGAGACATCATGATGCGTTTCCTTCCCTGGTAATCACCCAATCTCCGTTAACAAAGCTATAGTTTTCTCTTCCAGGTTAAAGCAATCTAATGATCCAGACAGTTTTTTTCTCTGGTGTTTGCAATGGCATGTTTAAAATTAAATGGTTTTAATGTTTTTTTTCTAGTCATGTTTCTTGAGTGTTACTTATGATGGTTCTTCTTCATGTTTGCTTGGTTGTGGTTTTAAGTTACCAAGTGGTAGAGAGCATGAGACAAGGAATGAAACCAGAAGAAGCTGCTAAGGACGCGGTCTCAAGAATCGCTAGAAAGTTTCCTGATTATGTGGGAGCGGTTGTTGCTGTTGACAAGAACGGGTCTCACGCAGGAGCTTGCCATGGCTGGACCTTTCAGTACTCAGTCCAGGACCCTGACATGGATGATGTTCAAGTCTTCACGGTTCTCCCATGAGACAGGTGAATTTTCAATACTAATAATCATATTTGATGGATTCATTTTTTTTTTTTTTTTTTCTGACATCATTTGATGGATTCATATCAACTGAGTTTTTGAAATAGTTATTAAGAATACTTTGAAGGTTTCTAAGTGAAACGCCACGAAGTTCATTTCTGCAAATACGGAACGGCAGCTTGTTTGGGGTATATTCTAACATATTGTTTCTTTAAACAGAAATCTGTTCCCCATTGGCAGATTATTTTCCGGATTTGTCTGAATTGATCAGACAAGAAGATTTCAGACAACATAAGTATACATTGTTGACTTTGTATAATTTTTTTTGTAATTAAATATAAAATATTTATTTGTGAAAATAAGCATATAAGGTTAGAGGAATACCTAAGCATATATCCTCAACGATTCTATAAGACTTGCAAATTTATTTTAAATAAAACATGATAAATATATACAAATCATTATATAATTGAAATTTTGTTAGAATAAATAATCATAGAGTATAGTCAGAAAATGAGAAAAGACGTGACAGAACAGGAGGGAATGTCATGTAGGCAACTACATCGTAAAAGTGATACCATATAGTTTTAAGCTTGATCTAAATATCTAATCCAATAAACTCAAAAGTATACTTTATTTTGCCAACAAATTAAAATAAATGTCCGTAAATCATGCTTTCAAAGAATCAAATCGTTGCTGATTCATAATGGATTGGTCTCCAAGATTAATGGTAATAAAAGTGCAGTTTCTTCAGGTCACTACTGTGATAACGTTTTCCGAGTTTTGTATTTCAAGGTAATGTAATTTAAAGGTTTAGAAGGTCGTTCCTCATGCCTTTGCTGTTGAGTAAGAAATTAAAAAAATAACTGAATATTTTATTTGTTTTGACTTTGTTTAATTTTTTTTTTTAAAAACAACCTGAGAGGGATATACCAACGTAGATCCTTATACTATGTATATAAAAGAGATAAAACTCTGTATTATTGTTCCAAGAAAATTAATTAATTAGTGAGCTGACTATAACAGTATAAAGGGCGGTTTGTGGCGGGCAACTACATGCTTGTTTGTTTCAACGCTTCTGCCTCAAGAAAATGTCAAGAAGTAACTAGGGTTCTTCTTCCTCATTGTTCCCTGCTCGAACAAAACTATTGTGTAAGTTCTATGCTCTATTACATTTACTTCTTCTGCAAGTTAAGTTTCCTCTTCTTATAAGAGTTTGAAACATCGTAGATTGTTTTTTAGTTTTAGGTAAAAAATGGAAGATAGAAAAACAGAAAGTTCGTTAAGCCAACATGTAAGTCAGCCTATACCACCTCCTGCTGTAGCTGTAGCTATTAATGGTAAGAAAAAGAGCAAATACGTGGCCTTTTGGGCTCTTGAGAAGTTCATCCCTGAAGGTTATTCTGATTTCAAATTGCTTTATGTTCGTCCTCCTGTTGCTTACATCCCTACCCCAAGTAAGTTGTGTGTGACCCAAGTTTCAGAATTTTGTTACTTGATGCACAAGTTATGTGTTTTTTTTTTTTTTTTGCCTTTACAAAAGATAGAGTCTCTTTCTTATTTGGTTTTCAGTGGGGAATGCGATCTCAGTAACAGAGCTTAGAGATGATGTTGTATCAGCTTACAAACAAGAAGTTGATTGGAACACAAATGAAATACTTCGTCCTTACAAGAAGATGTTCGACAGGAGAAAGGTTTTGCTCTGTTTTCCTCTGTTTTGCTCTGTTTTGCTCTGTTTTCTCATAATCCGAAAACATAAGAATAATTATAAATGGTATATTCATATAGGTGCGAGTAGAGATTATGGTGTTGGAATCACACGAGCCAGCATCTGCTATAGCGGAAGAGATAGCTGGAACCGGAGTCAGCAAACTCGTTATAGGAATGTCTCTTCGAGGATTCTTCTCAAGAAAGATCGATATGTCTTCTATGATCGCAACCGCTGTTCCAAGATTCTGCACCGTCTATGTGGTTTCCAAGGGGAAACTAGCTTCTGTGCGTCCTTCCGATTCAGACGCTAGTGGTAGCATAATGTCCACCACTAGCGGCTCCACTGATAGTCCTAGAGTCCTCCCTGGTAAAACTTGATTTTTTTGGATATCTGGTGGGCCGAGACAGTCTGGTGCCTCGACCCGCCAGATAATTTATTTGAAAACTTGGAAATGTAATGTTAATAATTTTTTTTGCTCTCATGTGAAAACAGAGTACCAAGACTTTGTCTCATATGTTTCGGAAGCACAGTCTCGTGTCTCTTCTCTCGCTCCGAGACAGTTGAGACACCCGGAGATGAGTAGCAACGCGGTGGTTCAAATGGACACGAGTTCTAACGAGACGGAGGAGCAATCGGAAGTTTCTAGAGAAAGCAGGCTGCAGATTGTACCGAGCGGCGGTGGTGGTGGTAATGATCAATGGAAGAGGAGTAACAATAACAACGAGAGCTTTAGTGCATCGTTTCCGATGGGAGAGGAGGCGTATCACGCTATGAGCTGGACTTCTAGATGGAGAGATCATGAGGAAAGGAGATCGATCATGAGCTCTTCTTCTAGCAACAACCACGATCTAGCTAATATGGAGTGGGGTGCAGTGGTTCCTGAGAACTATTCTTTTGTTTCTCATCAAGCTTCTAACATGTCTGATGGACGCATCAGTTTCCACTCCTTCAACGATAATCAGGTAGATTCTTTTTTTCCTCTAGGAAAATTAGAGCCATTTTCATATATCCATATCAGTTTTGCTGATTCAGAATCAAGATAACTTAGGCAACAAGATATGTATCTTGGTGACTAACTATTAGAGTCTCTATTGTTAGTTAGTTATGTTACTTTGATATTTTTAACTCAAGCATCATAATAGACACATTTTTATTTGATATTTTAACTAGAAAAATTTAGTAAAATCATGTTTCTAATGCTGTCTGAATCTATGTCAAACATGTTAATGAAAAGAATTGATTCTGTTTTTTTTTTATTTTATTTCCGGGGAGAGACAGAACATTTGTTTTGTTTGGTACTGAAATTAGGTCTAACCATGTAGGTGAATCTGACCTTTGAGATAGAGAAGCTGAGAGCCGAACTGCAACAACTTCAGGAGATGTATGCCATGGCTCAAAACGAGAATGTCGATGCCTCGAAAAAGGTTTAGTTAAATACTTTTGAACTCTGCATAAACCGTGGCAGTTTTTGAATTATGTTACATTTTCGTCTTCTTATTTGAGTCTTGTTTGCAGCTAAATGAGCTAAACAAGAAAAGATTCGAGGAATCAGAGAAGCTTGTGGAGCTTAAAGAACAGGAAGAAGTAGCTAAAGATACAGCTTCAAAGGAGAGGCAGAGGTACGACGAGGTGATGAAGGAGGCGGAGAAGGTTAAAGAACTCATGGTGAAAGAGGCTTTACATAGAAGAGAAGCTGAGATCAAAGCAGAACGTGAAGCTAAAGAGAAAGATAGGCTCCAAGCTTCTCTCGTCTGTCCTGGGATCCAGTACCAACATTACTCCTGGGAAGAAATCACAGCCGCGACTTCGAATTTTTCAGAAGATCTCAAGATTGGAATTGGAGCCTATGGAACTGTCTACAAATGCAATCTCCATCACACGACCGGTGCTGTCAAGGTCCTTCACGCTGGAGAAACTCAGCTCTCTAAACAGTTTGATCAAGAGGTAAAGATAAAAAAAATCAACTTTAGATGGACTTCCAGCCAAAATATAATTTTGGCGGGAAAACGTAATATTTCATTTTTGCTAGAAAACAAAGTTTCATGGTTTTGGTGAGAAATCGTAATTTTAAAGTTTTAAGAAGAAACATAATTTTACGGTTTTGACGGGAAAACATGTATTAAGTTGGATGAACTTCAAACCTAAATTATCGATCATAGTTTGTATATGTTTTGTGTTTCTGTTTTGACAGCTTGAGATCTTGAGCAAGATCCGTCATCCGCACCTTGTCCTTCTCCTCGGGGCGTGTCCTGAACGAGGCTGCCTCGTCTATGAGTACATGGACAATGGAAGCTTAGATGACAGGTTGATGCTAGTCAACGACACACCTCCCATCCCTTGGTTCGAGCGTTTCAGGATCGCTTTAGAAGTAGCTTCAGCGCTTGTCTTCCTCCACAAATCCAAGCCTAGACCCATCATTCACCGTGACCTCAAACCAGGAAACATCTTGCTTGACCAAAACTTCGTCAGCAAACTCGGCGATGTCGGTCTCTCCACTATGGTTAACCAAGACGACGCTGCTTCTAAACTAACCGTCTTCAAGAAAACAAGTCCCGTGGGAACGCTTTGTTACATAGACCCTGAGTATCAGCGGACGGGGATCATCTCACCAAAGTCAGATGTGTATTCTCTAGGTGTTGTGATTCTTCAGCTCATTACCGCGAAACCAGCGATAGCGATTACTCATATGGTGGAAGAAGCTATTGGAGACGATGCTGAGTTTATGGCGTTGTTGGATGTGAAGGCTGGATCTTGGCCTATTAGTGAGACTCGTGAGTTAGCTGCTTTGGGACTGTGTTGTACTGAAATGAGACGCAGAGACAGACCAGACCTTAAAGATATGATCATACCGACTTTGGAACGGCTTTGGAAAGTCGTTGAAAAAGCTCAAAACTCACTCTCGAGAACTTCGTTGGATCCTCCTTCTCATTTCATTTGCCCACTTCTCAAGGTTAGTATAAACCCTAGGAATGTTACTTGTTACTTGAGTAACAAGAAATCTTGTTTTCTTTCTAGATTTTTGACCTAATTGTTTTTTTTTTTTTGGTTGTGATCATAGGGAGTGATGAACCAGCCCTGCGTGGCTGCAGATGGGTTCACGTACGACCGTGAAGCTATAGAGGACTGGCTAAGAGAGAATGATACGTCGCCGGTGACGAGCCTTCAATTGCCTAACAAGAACCTTCTTGCTAATTACACTCTTTACTCAGCCATCATGGAGTGGAGAGCCAATAAATAATATTAAGAGAGAGATTCGACAAATAAGTACGATGGATTCTATCTATGTGTTTACTATTTATCTTCTTTCGTGTGGTTCTTCTCTCTTTGTTCTTCCTTTGTCTCTGTACCAACGATTTTTATGTTTTGTGTGATGAGATGCAAGACTACGAGTCTACAACAATAGAGATGGAGAGATAAAATGTCTTTTGATTTAATTTTCTCGTTTTTTTTCTTCTTTCTACTCTCGTTTGATAAGGTGTTAATTATTCAATCTAGACTATCCAGTAATTGATTTGTGGATTTTTATTTACAAAAAAAAAAGTTAACAAAAAAAACTTTTCTCCTTTGAGTCCAAATAGACTGCTTGAAGTGTTGGACCATCCCAAAGAAATTAACATGCACCTACATTATCATGTCAAACACGAGATATCCATTATATAAGGCCAACAAATGCACATGACTGATGATAAAGTTAAAACTGTATTTATCAAACGCATAATTTGAAGTTTTGCTCTCCTTATCATCCTTATCTCAAATTACCAAGCACCTGTTATTTTGTTCAACATTGAATGCCCACTACCCAAACCATTTATTGCTGATAATAAATGCTAAAACTACATCTGTACAAATCATGTTGAACTCATATTATAAATGCAGCCACAAAGTAATCCAATGCAAATAATGTCATTTAATATTTCCTCTGTTCTAAAACGTGGGCGCCTAACCGATTAATCATCCGGTTAGGCGCTCGGCAGCATGCTACCGTAGTGATTTGGTCCAAGACGGTTCAACTAATCGGACAACCAACTAATCAGCTAATTAACCTACTAATCGGCTAAATAACCAACAATTACTTTAAAGCAATTTACCTAAAGTGTTTATAAAAAAATACTGAGGGTCAAAATAGATGAGAAAATAAGAGTAAAGTTGCATGAACTCAAGTGATCTGCTTAACTGTGAAACAAACTTTGTCAAAAAAAAAAGTGTGAAAGTTTTGGAATACCCAAATACTAAAAGGTTCATGTGGAGAAGTTGATCACTGCGACTGTAAGAGTTTAGACCACAAGGGGGTGTTTGACTAGTGTCTACAAAGCTTCAAATTGTATTGTCACGAGGAGATCGACGTGGTAAGTTTTCCGGAAGTGTCGACGCAAAGACTCCAAGAAAGGAGCTGCTTCGTCCCTAGTTCTCCCACGTACTATGTCCTGATTCGTTTGCTTTTAAAATGAAAGAAAGAAATACATTCCAAATCAGTATGAATAGAAAAAGAGTTAGTTATTTAAAAAAAAAAATAGAGTTAGATCAAGTTGAAAAACGTTTTTTTGACTTGTTACTATTACATAAATTTATTAGTTAAATATTTTAGAAGAAAAGGTATGTTTCATGTCCCTACAAAAAAGGAAACGTAAAAGAAAAACCACATTATAGTTGAACAAGAAAAACCAAAACCAAAACCGAAAACAAAATTGTCTTTTTTTTTTTTGCAGAAATGAGCCTACCATATTCACAAAGGACAACACACCACAGATTGAAAAGTCAACAATATGGAAATAAACATGTTGGTAGTCCGACAATAACCCAACTTGTGTCTGACTTTCAACGACTTCTCGTTTCTCAAAACCTTTGAAGGCTACCGGAAAAGACATCTCATATTCACACATACAAAATAAATTCTTCTAGACTTTTGACATTTTCATTATCTTGTTCTTATCGTTTTTATCATTACTTTTTTGAATCTTGAATCTTGTTTATAATATATATTTTCATCAAGAATTCAACTCGGATGCCCATAAATTTCCGTATAACTAAAATATTTTAATCAGGAGATTCGTTCACTAGCTCACATTTCATTCGTCATCTTCTTTACTCCTCTCTTCGACCTCCCTCTGTCCATCCATTTGTCGAGTTTCTGGGAAAATCTTTGGAGCTTTCACCTCTTTTAGGTATCTTCAAATCTTATCTGATACCATTGTTTAGCCTTTCTGGCAGTTTCTTAAAGTCTTACTAAACCAAACCTTAAACTCTGAATGATCTCAGCCGTTGAGTTGATTAACAATATTTTCCATCTTTCTATTAATATTTTTTCTTCTAATAATAACCTTATTATAAAATTATTTTATTCAGTAACTTGTTTGGATTGTCTAGAAAAAATGTCTCTGTAACTACATTAATTAATCAAATAAAAACAAACCAGTTCATGCCTCTCTCTTCTCTCCCTTTGCCTCTTTAGCTAAAGCTGTTAAATCATCTTGTCCACTAGATTAAGCAAACAAAAAGCTTTGGAGGTTTGAAGTTCGAGATATGAGAGAAGGAGCTTTAATTGTAGCGGTAGCGATCAAAGGGAACAATAGCAAAACCAAAGGCGTTATTAGATGGGCACTTCAACAATTCGCTTCTCAAGAACATGTTGTCTTCAAGCTCTTACATGTCCAGCCAAGTAAGAGTTACAAACGTTACAACCTTTACAAAAAAAAAATGGCAGTTCAAACAATTTGATCTGAGTTTTTGTGTAATAACAGGAGATTCGATGTCGGTTTCAACCTCAAGAAAAGACTCGACCTCAGCGGTTTACAAGAAAGATGTTGATAGGAAAACCAGAGAAATGCTTTTTCCAAGCAGTTCCATGTTTGCTCATAGAGAGGTATGAATTGAAGGTGGACTTCTTTACAGTAGATATTGTTTCTTGTTTCATGTTTTGGTTACCAAGAATCTCTAAATCTTGTGAAATGTGAAAAGGTTCAATTGGATATGATGGTACTCGAATCAGACGATGTAGCTGATGCAATCTCTAAAGCGGTTCAAGATCATGGAATCAGTGAGTTAGTCATTGGAGCTTCCTCTTCTATCATCTTCTCATGGTAACATATACAAAACACTCTCTTCATTTTCTATTTCTCTATATTTCTTTTGGCTTTCTTTAATTATTTTTTGGTTCATTTGTAGGAAGCTGAAGAGAAGCAACATATCTTCAAGAATCTCAGATGTTACACCAAGATTTTGCACAGTCCACGTTATCTCTAAAGGAAAGCTTCTCAATGTTCGAAAATCCGATGTAGATATTGAAACAACCATTGCAGATGATAGGAGTGAAAGCCAGTTCTCTTCAAGTACCCAATCAGGTATATACTACTTTTACTAGCCGGCCCCTGAAATTTACCAAACATAAAACAATTACGGATTTAATGATAAATGATATATACATATTTGTTAATTATATTTTCATTTGGCTATGTGCAAAACCGGTCATGTCTATAGGACACAAGAAAATCTTGAAAACATGTTTGATTTGATTGATTTTTTACTTTTATAACATTCTAGGGTCAGTAAGTTCGACATCGAGTCATCAATTCTCATCTGCACCTTTACTCTATCAAAGAGTCCAAGCGCTTTCAACCGTTAACCACAAGGTGGGGACAAATATGGGAACAAAGAACAGTATTGATACACACCATAACAGAGCAGCGTCTCTAGATGTGGATGAACCAAACCAAAGGGGCTATTACCGAACAAACAGCTCGTTGGTTAGGTATAAAGAAAGTGATATCCAGAGTCGGAGAAGCTCTCATACCGAGGAAGGATCAAGCTCAAGTTGCTACAGTGACCCTACTTCATCTAGTAGTCAGGTATAGTTTTATTTCAAAACCAATTGATAATAAGTGGAGTAATCGATCTTATATTTTTTTTAATGTGGCCTTCTTAATATTCAGATGAATAAAGAGTATGAGCTAGAGAAGCTGAAGATTGAACTCCGTCACATTAAAGGAATGTATGCAGTTGCTCAAAGCGAAGTCATGGACGCTACTATAAAGGTACATTATTTGTTACAATATTTTGATAGAAAGATTATTGTTTCTATATCGAAGTTGATATATTTTATTTTCGAGTGACTTAAATCTCCGTGCACTAGTAAAAACACTTTCGTTTCGTTGGGCCGGATGAACAAATAGAAAAAAAATAAACTTCTAGAAATGAATAATATCAAATTTTGAGGTTATATAAATACATGTTTAAGAGATTATGAATGATTTGTTCACATAATCAGTATATAAACCCTAAAACGAATATTTGTCTCAGTAGTGTTTTCTCAGAAAATATTCTAGATTTCTTCGAATCTGATTCGCGTTTGTTCACAACAATGTGACTTAAATCTCCGTCCACTAGTAAAAACACTTTCATTAGAACGGATAAAAATAATATCAAATTTTGAGGTTATATAATTTATGTCTAAAAGATTATAAATGGTTTGTTCACAATATCAGTATATAAACCCTAAAACAAATATTTGTCTCAATAGTTTTTTCTCAGAAAATATTCTAGATTTCTTCGAATCTAATTCGCATTTGTTCACAACAATATGTATCCTCTGTTTTTTCTTTTATTAGATGCAAGATTTGAACCAGCGTAGATCAGAGGAAGCTACGAGGCTCAAGAACCTAACAATAAGAGAAGAAGACGCTGAAGAAGCGGTGGAAATAGAGAGGGAGAGACAAGAGGAGGCTGAAAACGAAGCTGAGCTCGTGAGAGAATGCGTTGAGAAAGAAATCGAAGAGAGACTTGAGGCCGAAGCAAGAGCCGAAGATGTTAGAAAGGAGAAGCAGAGACTAGAGGATGCACTTGAAGGTGGACCACTTCAACGCCAACAATACATGAAGTTTGAGTGGACAGATATCGTTGACGCCACGTCATCTTTCTCCGATGAACTTAAAATCGGATCGGGCGGGTATGGAACCGTGTACCGGTGTAACTTGCATCACACGACAGTAGCTGTCAAGGTTCTTCATTCAGACAAAAGTAGCTTAACCAAACAGTTTCACCAAGAGGTAAACAAAATACATTCTTTTTTTCTTTTTTTTTTACTTTTTAACCTTGAAAAAATATTTACTGATTGTTCAATCTTCAGCTTGAGATTCTCAGCAAGATTCGTCACCCACACTTACTTCTCCTAGTGGGCGCGTGTCCTGAACGCGGCAGCTTGGTTTACGAGTACATGCACAACGGAAACCTAGAGGAAAGACTCATGAAACGCAGACCAAACGCTAACGCACCGCAACCGCCTTTACAATGGTTTGAGCGGTTTAGAATCGCTTGGGAGATAGCTTCAGCGCTCTACTTTCTCCACACAAACGAGCCTAGACCAATCGTTCACCGCGATCTTAAACCGGCTAACATACTCCTAGACCGGAACAATGTAAGCAAAATAGGAGACGTGGGCCTATCAAAGATGGTTAACCTCGACCCTTCTCATGCATCAACGGTTTTCAACGAAACCGGTCCGGTTGGAACGTTCTTTTACATTGATCCAGAGTACCAACGAACCGGGGTAGTGACTCCAGAGTCTGATATCTACGCGTTTGGTATCATACTGCTTCAGCTAGCTACGGCTAGACCAGCGATGGGTTTGGCTCATTCGGTAGAGAAAGCGTTGAGAGATCGAACCGGGAATTTTGTAGAGATGTTGGATAAAAGTGCTGGTGATTGGCCGGTTAAGGAAGCGAGGGAGATGGTTATGATAGGGCTTAGATGTGCTGAGATGAGGAAGCGTGACCGTCCTTATTTAGGGAAAGAGATTCTACCGGTTCTTGAACGGTTAAAGGACGTTGCTTGTAATGCAAGAAACATGTTTTCTGAAACCCTAATCAACCGTCACCACCACGCTCCGAGTCATTTCTATTGTCCATTAACTAAGGTAACTAGTGATAATGATTATATTTATTGTACTTTTTTTTATTAATTTTTGATCATTTTAGTATGGTTTATTGGTGAAATTAGGATGTGATGGAGAATCCATGTGTTGCTTCTGATGGATATACATACGAGAAGAGAGCCATTAAGGAGTGGCTTGAGAAGAATTATGAATCTCCAATGACGGATTTGCCCTTCACCAACCAAACTCTTCTTCCTAATCATTCTCTTCTTTCTGCTATCAAGGAGTGGAGATCATCACATATTATTAAATAGAAAAAAGGTTCAAAGTTACAAGGTTAAGCTCGTCAATTAGCATGCATCATTGTGTTTATTTTTTCACACCATCCTTGCGCACACATAAACAACACGACTGCTCAATAGATAAATGGTGCTCATACATATTGAAAATATTGGAGTTTTTGTACGTAAAAACCAGTGATTCATTTGAGTGTGCAATAGGTTTTCACTGCGCATTTGCAGGAAGAGATAAATACATGTGTTGGTTTTTGTTCTATGATATTTTTTGTATTGTACATATCTATATATATATATATATACAAAATAAGTATTTCGTATGTTTTGTCACGTCCAGTTTGGTTGGATATAAATGTTACTAGATTGAGAAAAACTAACCCGGAAAATTTATTCAAATTCAATTTGCATTAGAAAAGTAAAATTTATAATCTTTAGTTGTGTATCATAAAGTTGGCCTATATGACTCCCATTATGAAGATACTCATATCTTTTATTATTCTGTTTGGTCCAACTACTTTTGTTTTTTCTTAACACCTATCGGTCCCATAGGAAAAAGACTAGTCTCAATTGAATGGTATGTAGAAAATAACTCATTCGTAAGTTTGTGACTTTTGTCAAGTAAGATTTTATTGAATTTTAATGCTGCCTAGGTTAATAAATATTTGTATACGTATACAAATCTGGTTATGTGATATTGTCAAGACACCTAGCCAGGCCATTAAATAGTGTGGGTTCTATACAGACCACTAAACCAATAATTACATCTTTTTTTTTCTAAGAAAGACATAATAAATGGAATTTATGTGATATTGCCAAGACCTAGCCTAGCTTATTCTGCTAAGAAAGACCAATATACAGACTAGTAAACCTATAACGACATGGACTTTTATATAAATATGTATACAGATTAGTAAACCCTTTGTAATCAATGCGTGCATTGACCAAAAAATGCGTGCATTGACCATGGTTCAGAATGGGTTGTGCAATCTTGACAAATTGTTCACAATTCATAAAGCAACATTCCAAGTGAGTTTTCGACCCAGAAAAAACATAAGTGAGTCGTTATTGTTGAATGCATGTGGCATGAAGGGTCCCCTCTCCAACCTTTGATATGTCAGTATATGCCAATTGCGTGCGGGAGTGGGACTATAAAGGGACTATTCGTTATGGGAGGATAGATTGTCATTAGACATTAGATTATCTTAAAATTTCTATAAGTTCATTTCTATTGTTGAACTCTACACTAATTTTGTTGGCTAATTAATATACTCTGAAAATAATAGCTTGGCTCTTTGTTGATAAACAGATTGAATATTTATATGCAGATCTATTCTTCTTTCTTTTTGTAACGCATGCAGATCTATTCATACATCGGATTCTACAATTGATCTCTTCAATTGTTTTGCTCATTTTCTAGAACTATATAGATCCTCTCTAGGTCACATAAACAGTTTTCAATATACAAAAATTATAGTACAATCATAATATATAATAGGTTACTTTTACAAGGAGGTATTCGTTTTATTCTTTTCATATTTGCCTCTCATTAATACAATTACAAATCATGTTGTCAATGATCATTTTTGATTTCCGTTTGTTGATTTTCCACATCTAGTTTTAGTAAGTCTAATAATACAAGCGAGTAAACTAGTCCTTCCAATAAAATTGACCTATAAAAATTGGATATGAGTAGGTCATAAACACATGCAATTGGTTGGGAACTTGAGAGGAGAATAAAAACACATTTCAATAATAGCCAGGAAAATAGACACACAAGTCCACATTGATACAAACTACAAGTAACATGTTTTCAGATCTACATTTATATGAATGAACTTTAAATATACTACCATTTTAATCCATCTCCAATGCTTCAGCACACACCATCCCTCTCTGTATATCACTACTGTGAACAAAAAGTATCAATTTTTTTTCCTTTTTCATCTTTTTTTCCCACACCTAATAAAGGAAACTTTTCCTCAAAACCTCTCATTTACTACTACCAAAAAAAAAAAAAACAGAGAACAAAACCTTTTCCATGAGATGAAAACACATTTGCTAAAACTGATACTTGAAGTATCTCTACCAATTACATTCTTCATTGTAGTGTTTATCTTCTTCTTCTTCTTCAGAAGAAAAACAGAGTCTAATGAACTCCAAAACGACGTCGAATCTCCTTACGAGAAACAAAACTTCTCTGGATCAGAAACAGAGGAGGAAGAGGAGGAGGAGCTTGTCATCTTCAACGGAGGAGAAGATCTAACGATCTGCGACATCCTCGAAGCTCCCGGAGAAGTCATCGGAAAATCAAGCTACGGAACATTATACAAAGCAAGTTTACAGAGAAGTGGGAAAGTCAGAGTTCTTAGGTTCCTTCGACCTTTATGTGCAGTTAGATTGGAACCAAAGGAGTTTGATGGCGTCATCGAGTCGCTTGGAATTTTAAGACATGATAACTTGGTTCCTTTGTTGGGTTTCTACGTTGGAAACAGAGGAGAGAAGCTTATGATTCATCCTTTCTTCGGTTCTGGGAATCTCTCCGAGTTCATCAGATGTAAGTCCTCTGTTTTTTTTTTACTCTAACGTAAAAGATTAAAGACACAAACTTTTAGTTTTGTCTAAGAAAAGTTAATGACTATTTAGCTGTGTCTAGATTCGTTTTTTTTGTGTCTGGTTTCTTTTTTCTCGTTGATTCTTGTTTTCTGTGTATGTTTTTGTTTTTTTGGGAAACAAACAGAGTCTTGAGTTCTGATTTTCCCGGGAAAATGGTAAAACAGATTATCAATGCATTTAATAAAATAATTACCGTTATTAATATCTCATGTCCTTCTATTTCAAATAAATAAATCTATGTTACAGAATATTTACAAATATTTAAAAAACATATGAAATGTTTTATTATCAATACATTATTTTTGTAACTAACTATATTTCCCGTAACTTACCTATAGAATTTCAATAACTGCAATTATATTTTTTGAATTTATAATTTACCATTATTATCATTTTTTTACAAAATTTTTTTTTACCATTAATTAATACATGTAAAATGTAAAAAAGTACATCTTTTTGAAGTAATTTTTTTTTTCTAAACAATGGATTTTGGGAGGGTGTACTACATTGAATAATTTGGTGATTATAGTCATCCAAACTAATCGAAATGGTATTTATCTTTATTGATCTATATTTGTCGGATTGATCACTACAATTATTGATCTATCATTTGTCGGTAACTATTTTTTTTAGTCACGTCCCACTTATGCTCAGCATGAAAGACAAAAACTTTATAGATCTCACTTTAAAAACATCGACATCAGCAAAAACTTTGTCATTAGTTTTATCTATTCCATTACTATTCAACATGTGTTTAAAGAAGAGCATAGTTTTGGCAGGTGGAGATGTTGAATCACACAAATGGAGCAATATTTTGAGCATCACCACTGGAATAGCCAAAGCTCTTGATCATCTCCACACAGGAATGCAGAAACCGATCGTTCACGGGAACCTCAAGTCCAAGAATATTCTCTTGGACCAGAGCTTTAGGCCTAGAGTCTCTGATTTCGGGTTGCATCTGCTCTTGAATCTTGCGGCTGGGCAAGAGATGCTAGAAGCTTCAGCTTTGGAGGGGTACAAAGCGCCTGAGTTGATGAAGATGAAGGAAGTGAGCAAGGAGAGCGATGTTTACAGTTTCGGTGTGATCATGCTTGAGCTGGTTTCGAGTAAACTGCCAACGAACAAGAGTTCAACTAGTTATGTTCTTGACCATGAGAGATTGTTGGACTTGTGCCGTGCTGAGGTTCTTGGGAGGGGTGAGGAAGATATGACTAAAGAATATGTTCTTGAATACATTGAGATTGCAATGTCTTGTTGCTCTCCATCGCCTTCTCTTAGGCCTAGCTTCAAGCAAGTATTGAGGAAACTTGAAGAGATCAAGAACTAACTAACCTGCGGAGCAGACATGCCAAGAGAGAGAGTTTGATACCTTCTCCAAGATCAATTAAGCAGGTAATACAGGGGAAAGAGCCTTATTGAACAAAATTTCACAGGGATGATACAATACATATCACATGTTAATACTTACAGAGAAGTAGTTGTCTGATTATGGGGATTTCCCTTAGGCAAGAGTTCCAGAATAGTGGAAGGAGTATATACCTGAGAAAAGAAGATATTTTCAGACGCCAACAAGGGAGGAACTTCACAAGGCCTTCAGTAATCCTAGGACATCATGTTCATGAGTATCATCAAAAGGCTTGAAAGTAACACAGTGTCTTGAATGTAATGTCCTTGAAGTTGTTTCTCATAGCATTGTGCGCTGTATCTGGAGCGAGATTATGATTCCTGAATTATATACCTGAAATCTCCATGTGTCTTTCTCTCTCTCTCTAGTTTTGCTCTGAAAGATGAAATTAGTGTATGTGTAAGCACATATTCATTCAGTGCTTTGTACTCTTCACTTTCTCCATCAAATCATATAGAACTCTGTATATATCTTCCTTCTGGGGATGGTGTTGATCCCCAGAGCAAAACTTGTGGACTTGACCTCCAATAGTAATCCAGCTCAGTCCAGGTTCTTTTCTCATGGCTTGAGAATTCATCACCTTTCTTACACTTAGTTCAGCATCAATATTCCCAGCTTCTCTGTATGCGTTTGACAAGAGAACAAGAGCAGCTGAATCTTCCGGGTTACAAGAGATAACCTTATGAGCCGCAATCTCTGCCAAATGAATGTTCCCATGAACCCTACCCGCTCCAAGCAATGTCGACCAGACTTTCTCATCAGGCTCTATAGGCATCTTCATTATAAACTCCCATGCTTCAGTTAGACGTCCCACACGGCCCAGGATATCAACCACACAAGCATAATGTTCAACCTCTGGGACCAGTCCATATCTTTCCTCCATTAAATGAAAACACCTCAGGCCTTCATCAACTAGCCCTCCGTGTCTGCAAGCAAACAGAAGACATAGAAATGTAACGGAATTGGGTTGGTCCATCTTTCGAAAGAGTCTTAAGGCATCTTTCGCCATGCCGTGTTGTGCATATCCAGATATCATGGCGGTCCATGAAATGACATCAGGGTCTTGCAAAGATTCAAAAACCCTGACAGCGTCTCTTACACTACCGCACTTTGCATACATGTCGATGAGAACACTCTCCACACATTTGTCTGTAGCAAAACCAGTTTTCAATGTCAAGCTGTGGACTTGCTGCCCATATTCAAGGAAACTGAGGCTAGCACATGACGCAAGCACAGCTGAAAACGTGACCTGGTTCGGTTGAAACCCCATTTCTCTCATCTCGGAGAAAACGGTTAGTGCTTTTTCCTCAAATTCAGAAGACTGAGAATAAGCTGTCACAAGCGTTGTCCATGAGATCTGGTTTGCTTCCTCCCTAGTAGTGTCAAAAAGCTTCCTCATTGCTTCAAGTTCACCACATTTTCCGTATACATCCATTAACGCGTTGAAAAGACTCACATCACTCCATTCACTCCCACCTTTCAAGATCATCCCATGAACCTGCTTTCCATATTCGAAAGACCTCATCTCAGCAATAGAACTCAATATACTACACTATGTATATACATCTCGTTTCACATCATTCTGACACATTCTAAGGAACATCAACATCGCTTCTCCTCCCTCCCCAGCCATCGTATAACCAGATAACATAGCGTTCCACGGTAAACTCACTCCACATCCAGAGAAACTCGACTCAAAAACCGACCGTGCTTCAGCCACACATCCACTTCTCGCAAACATATCAATCAAAGCTGTCCCCACGTGTACATTTGACTGCATACCCATCTCCAAAGCCACACTACTAACGTATCTACCTTTCTCAACATCTCCCAGCTTCCCAATAGCTTTGGAAACACTAATAAAACACGGCACGTTCGGTCTAATCCCTTCTTCCATCATCCTCAAGAAACTAACATACGCTTCCGAGTAAAAACCGTTTGACACAAACCCTGATATCATCGCATTCCATGAAACCTCGTTACGACTCTCCATGGAGTTAAACACCTTACATGAATCCCTAATCCTCCCTAACTTAGCGTACACGCTAAGCAAAGACGTGTCAACAAACGTATGAGACGAAAAGCCACGTAACAAAACCTGAGCGTGAACCATTTCAAAAAGACTAACGTCATCCACACCAACACACGCCTGTGCTGCCGCAGAAAGAGCGTATTCATCGGGGGAAACATCACAACGAAGCATCTCGACAAAGTAACCAAACCCATCACGGTGAAACCCGTTCTCCGTCGCACCGACTATTAAAACAGTATACGAGAAAACACTCTTGTGGGGAATTTCGTCGAACACTTGGCGTGCGGAGCTAAAGTTTGAGCATTTGGAATATGCGATGACCATTTGATTCAAGAGTAATGTCAAGGACTTGGACGGAAACTGAGATTTAGTGATAATTCCATGGATCGATTTCGTTTTTTGAAGACAGGTTTTGTCTGGAGAGTCTCGTAAGAGCTCTGTTAGTGATGTGTAGAAATCTTTTGTTCTGTAAACTTGGTTTATTCTCTTTACAAACATGAGTTTATATACAACGACAAAGACGGTATAAAACCCTAAACTTTAAGCGTATGGAACAAGGAAAACATCCTTATTAGAATAGGAAAATATATGATTTCCATATTTCCTAAATATATGCTCAATACTCCCCCTCACGTTGGAGCATGAAGGTTTTGAATGCCCAACTTGGAGACTAACTTCTGAAATGGAACTCGCCCAAGAGCCTTAGTCAAGATATCAGCAATCTGCGACTCTGTGCGAATATGTTGAGTAGTTATGATTCCATCTCGAACAGCATTACGAACTGAATGACAATCGTTCTCAAGATGCTTGGTACGTTCATGGAAAACAGGATTTGCAGCAATGTAGATCGCCGCTTTACTATCACAGAAGAAACGAGTTGGCACAACCTGTTCGAGTCCAAGTTCTTTCAACAATTTTCGAATCCACTTTGTTTCTCGAAGAGCAACTGACATAGATCGATATTCAGCCTCTGCAGAGGAGTGTGAGACGGTGTCTTGCTTCTTAGTTTTCCACGCAATAGGTGATCCTCCAAGCATAACAATAAAGGCACTGAGTGAGCATCGGGTGAGTGGACAACCCGACCAATCGGCGTCACAATAAACTGAGAGTGTGAGATCAGTATCAGAACTTAGCATTACTCCTTGTCCCAAAGTTCCTTTTAGAAAACGCACAACCCTGAGAGCTGCAAGCCAATGAGCCTCCTTTGGTTTGTGCATAAATTGTGACAATATATGAACCGAGTAACATAATTCAGGCCGAGTATTCAACAGATATATCAATCGACCAATCAGACGTCTGTACTTCTTTGGATCAGCAAGTGTCGGTCCTTCAGCCTTAGCAAGTTGATGGTTTTGCTCAAGAGGCGTAGGAGCAGGTTTACAGCCGAGATTACCAGTTTCTGCAACTATATCTAAAGCATATTTTCGTTGAGATAAAAATATTCCTTCACCTCCTCTGCTAACCTCTATGCCAAGAAAATATTTCAACTTCCCCAGGTCTTTCATAGCAAAACATTTACCAAGATACTCTTTGAAACGCTTTAACATGTGAGAGTTATTACCACATATGAGAAGATCATCGACATATATCAACACACGCACCTCAATGTCCTTGCACGAGTATGAAAAGAGTGAATAATCTTCGTAGGACTGAACAAACCCAAAACGAAGTAACGCGTCTGATAGCTTCTTAAACCAACACCGAGGAGCTTGCTTAAGTCCGTATAAGGATTTTCGCAAGCGACAAACCTTACCAGGGTGGACATGACGAAAACCCGGGGGTAACTTCATATAAACCTCTTCTTCAAGATCACCATGAAGAAATGCGTTTTGTACATCCATCTGATAAACCTCCCAATTCTTTGATGCAACAAGACGCAAGAGAGTGCGTATAGTAGTCATTTTCACTACAGGGGCAAAAGTTTCTGTATAATCTTCACCTGCTACTTGTTTATTTCCTTGCACAACAAGCCGTGATTTATACCTTTCCACGGTACCATCTGCATTATACTTTATTTTGTAAACCCATAGACTACCAATCGCAATCTTCCCTGGAGGAAGATCCACAATATCCCATGTGTGACTATCTTCAAGTGCTACCACTTCTGTTGTCATGGAATTATTCCAGACTTTGTGCTTAACTGCCTCTTTAAAATGTTTTGGCTCCTCTGCTTTTGTAATAGCCGTTAAATACACACGATGACTTGAAGAAAACTGATCATCAGAAATGAAGTCTGATAGAGGATAAAGTGATTTACCTGGACTGTTTGACGAGGACTGAGAAGCTGGAGTGGGAAGAGCGTGATGTGTATCATTTTTATTGCTTGTAACGTTGTAGAGTAGATAATCTTTTAACACAACAGATTTGGTCTTCTCTCTGTGGCCTCTGCCTAGATTTTCTGAGTCGACCGCAGGCAAGCTAGAATCAACAACTTCCGTGAGAGAATCATTTTCTTCTTCTTCTTGAGTTTCTAAATTTTGTTGATCTCCTGTTTCTTCAACTGCAACCACTTCCTCTGTTTCAGAACTTGCAGGAGGAGGAGGCTGTTCAGCAGGAAACGAAGCTTCTGTATATCTACTCCCCCTATCGTCTAAGGACGTAATCCAATCATCATCGCACACGACGGGAGGTGGTGACGAGGATGTGTTAGATACCTTAGGATCTTGAAAGGGAAACACATTTTCATGGAACACAACATCTCTTGAAACTAGAAACTCGTTTCTTTCAATGTCGTATACCTTCCATCCTTTCTTGCCAAACGGATATCCCACAAATATGCACTTTCGACTCCTTTCACTAAACTTGTCTTTGTCTCTTACAAGACGATGGGTATAGCATAATGAACCAAAAACTTTCAACTGTTTATAATCTGGTCTAACTCCATGAAGAATTTCGTAGGGTGAGACACCTTTGTGGATAGAACTTGGTGTTCTATTAATCAAATACGCAGCGGTTAGAACAGCTTCACCCCAAAACTTGATGGGCAGACCAGCTTGAAACATTAGAGCCCGAGAGATGTTGAGTATGTGCCGATGTTTTCTTTCAACTCTACCATTCTGTTGCGGTGTTGCAACACAAGACGTCTGATGGACAATTCCACATTCTTTGAAATACGACGACAAAACCATGAACTCGGTGCCATTGTCACTTCTAACCATTTTGACAGACTTACCAAATTGTTTCTCTGCATATGCAATGAACTGTTTCAACACAACCTTTACTTCTGATTTCTCGAGTAAGAGGTAAGTCCAAACGGCTCTCGAAAAATCATCTACAATGGTTAAGAAGTAGACTGCACCACATGAAGCAGGAACACGATACGGTCCCCAAACATCCACATGAATTAGAGAAAAACAATCTGATGCTTTATTTGAACTATCATAGAATACTTCACGAGTTTGCTTAGCTCTCAAACAAATGTCACAATGACTAGAGCTAGCTACTTTAGTAGAACTAGAAAACAATGGCAAATTTGATAATATAGAAAACGACGGATGTCCCAAACGCCGATGCCACAAGGTCTGCTCCGAATTACCCACAACCCGATGACTCTTTGCTGAGACTATGTCCGTAAAATAATACACACCATCACGCTCTTCACCTGTTCCAATCAGAGTCCTCGAAAAACGGTCCTGCAAAACACAAATCGTATCAGTAAACATTGCGAAACAGTTTGTTTGTTTCAACAATTTTGCAACCGAAATCAAGGTACAATTCAAATCTGGAACATATAACATGTTTGACAAAGTTATTTTATCAGAAAGAGCAAAGGAACCCATGCTCATTGCCACTGTTTTTCCCCCATCTGCAAACGCAACAGAGCATGGTGGTATCATCTCGACATTGGTTAATAATGACAACGATCCAGTCATATGATGCGAGGCACCAGTGTCGAGAATAACATCACCGAGTTTGTTCTTACCAGACAACCTATCTGAAGCATTATTTCCAGACTTTTCTTGGATCATTTGTGTGAGAACTTTCCACTGATCTGAAGTCAACTCAGGAATCGAAGAAGAATTGGAGCTAGTTGCATGTGCTGCGCTTGCTTGGCCACGACCTCTACCTCCAAAACCACGACCCCCTCTGCCACGACCAGTGTTACTCTGACCACGTCCACCATTGCTTCCGGAAAATGACTCTGGAAACCCTATGATCTCCCAACAGCCACGTTTCTCATGACCAGTTCTCCCACAATGAGAACAAATCATTCGACTTCTAAGTATTGTGTTCTCAGGCCTGCTTTGATTCACAGATGTCATAGATGTATCCATCTGCTGCCCACGACGAGTCTCTGCACCAGAAACTGTTTGATCACGACGAGTAAAGAACCCAACTGCTTCTTGTTGCTCCTGACCACGTGTAGCTGAGATTCTCTGTTCTTCTCTTATTATTTTGCTGTATATCTCGCCTAGGGGAGGAAGCGGATCTTGTCCAATAATAGTGGTACATATTCCTCCAAACCGCGAGTCATCGAGCCCCATAACAAACTGATGTATCTTCTCATGCTCTCTTTCCATTGCAATTGCTGCAGCAGCTCCACAGGTACACACATGAACAGGTTGATAAACCTGAAGTTCTTCCCACAGAGTTGAGAGCTTTGCGAAGTAATCCAACACTGACTTCCCCTCTTGTCTGCACGAGGCAAGCTGGGCTTTGATTTGATGTATTCTCACAGTGTTTCCCACCGAGAAACGTTGTTTTAGATTTTCCCAGAGCTGATGTGCATCTGAGATATAGGTAATAGTAGACTTCACTTTTGGCTCGATAGACGTTCTAATCCAACCAACAATCATTGAATTGGCTGTCAACCAATTCTCTAAATCTGGATCTCCTTCTTCTGGTTTCTTCAGAGTACCCTTGATAAAACCCATCTTGCGTTTGGCTTGAAGAGCGTTGAGCATCTCCGAAGACCACTCGTTGTAGTTTTCACCGTTTAACTTGACAGAGGTGATCGTGGCTCCTGGGTTGTCGGATGCATGCAAAGTGTAAGGCGAAACCACCACAACATCTTCTTTCTTTTGAAGGACTCGACCTAGTTGAACTTCATCCCCCATGATGAACGACAAGACTTAAAACAGACGACTTTGAGGGAAAGCACAATACGAGACAAGATTAACAATTTAAAGATCTTGCTCTGATACCATGTAGAAATCTTTTGTTCTGTAAACTTGGTTTATTCTCTTTACAAACATGAGTTTATATACAACGACAAAGACGGTATAAAACCCTAAACTTTAAGCGTATGGAACAAGGAAAACATCCTTATTAGAATAGGAAAATATATGATTTCCATATTTCCTAAATATATGCTCAATATGATGTAATTGGATAAGATGATGAGATTGAGATTTTTTTAGGGTTTTGTTTGGTCTGTGGTGGTGGAAACAGTGATGAGGTTCCTGTCTAGAACACAAGAGCTCGTCTTAGTGTAAAAAAGGAAGCTACTTTAAAGATAAGAAGTATAGAGATATAGAGAGAGAGAGTTCTTACAGATGATGGAGCTTCTGGTAGTTTAATGGACAGAGGAAACGATATTCCGACAGAGGAGCTCATCATAGATGTGTGTCGGAATCCGTCGAAGAGTGGATATAATTTCCCGGGGAAAACAGTGTGTTTACACGTTCAACAAAAGTACCGAACTAAAAAACGTTATCAAACGGCAAGCAGTGCTATTAAATTTTCTAGGAACGGCACGGTTTTTTCTTTTTTGTAGGTTCATAACCATTAATTAGGTCTGCGAGTTCGGTTTTCCAAGACCGAACTGAACCAAACCGTCGATTTTCGGTTATCAGAATTTTAAATATCATTTCAGAAGTTGACCGAATTAAATTTCGGTTTGGCTTGATTCAGTTATCGATTATTTTTGGTTTTTGATATTATTTCTAAAAATAACCGATTATTTGGTTTTCGATTAATTTGGGTATATTTATTTTAAAAAATGATATTTTTTTAATTTTGGTTAACTTGAATTTTCGATTAAATTTAGTTTGAATTTTCAGATATTTTTGAATAGTTTCCGTTTCTTCAGATTTTTTTTTGTAAAATACTGAATCGATTTTTAAAAGTATGTTTTATATGTATTTGTGAAATTTTTTCATTATTAGTAACTTTTATTAATGTTTGTATTATCTTAACAAAAAGAAAAATGTTTGTATTTTGGAATTAAACAATCACAACTTGCATGCAACTTGGGTGGGTCCGATCACATCTCCAGAGTTTATCATCCAATCGTTACTTTAAGAAGATAATCGTTTTCTCTCCTTTCATCAAACAAAATGTTACATCAAACAACAAACAGAAGGATAAAAAAAGTAGGCAAAGAGAGAAACTTTTGACTTGTCTCGCAATAGAAAAGTCTTTCTTACTATTTTGTTCACTGTCGATTTCTCATTAGCCAAACAACAACCAAGAGTTCCACACTCGAGTCCAAGAAAAGACAACTCCAATGGTCCAACAAGTTTGTCTATCTTGAAAACTCATCAACAATAAAAAAAGATTTATTTGGCCATTTCTTGAAATTTTTAGCTTTGTTTTTATTTTATCTCAAGAAAAGTGAATCGCTTGTGTTGTGTGTGACTGTCTCTCTACGTAGACATGGAAGAGAAAGAAGCAAGAAAAGGAGCCATGGCTGCATCAGAATCTGGCGGGAAGATAACTTATTTTGTGGTGGCTTCATGTGTCATGGCCGCCATGGGGGGTGTCATCTTCGGCTACGACATCGGAGTTTCAGGTTTACATAATAAATATACTTTATAGTTTCTGACCATTTCAAATCCATGTTTTGTGGTTGTATCATTTCTAAAAAAAACAAATTGAGAAAACTTTACTTTTCTTTATAGATTACTTTGATAGACAATAATACTTCTTATGTTTGTTTTTAAACGTATTAGTTTTTTTTGTTTGACATCATTTTTACACATAGTCGTAAAACATGTTAAACATTCATTTGCATTGTTTTGTGATTATCAATTTTTTTTTATGACGACAAATAGTTGTACGAAAATCGTTTTATATAGTTTTTGTTTAAACCCGAAGGCTTGAGGCTGAAGTAAAGTTGTATAAGCCCAATTATTTGTTTTCTAAATTTACAATTTTTATTAGTAATTAATAAAATCTCAAAAGAAAATGGATTTATTAAATTATTTTAGATTTAATATGGAAATCATTACAAGAGGGCGTTTGGTCTAGTGGTATGACTCTCGTTTAATCACTTATACGAATATTATATTTTTCATTCACAACAAAAATAATAATATGGAAATCATGTAATATCTACGTAGGTGGAGTGATGTCAATGGGGCCGTTTCTTGAAAGATTTTTTCCAAAAGTTTATAAACTCCAAGAAGAAGATAGAATAAAAAGAAGCCATAACAACAAGGACCACTATTGCCTTTTCAATAGCCAACTTCTTACGTCCTTCACGTCTTCCCTCTACGTTTCCGGTTTCATCGCTACGCTGTTAGCTTCGTCAGTGACTCGTTCTTGGGGTCGCAAGCCCTCTATATTAATAGGCGGCGTGTCTTTTCTTGCTGGCTCTGCTCTTGGCGGCGCTGCTCAAAACGTTGCCATGCTTCTCATTGCACGTCTCTTGTTAGGTGTAGGAGTTGGATTCGCAAACCAGGTACGTGTTGGTCAGTGTGATATTTGAACATGGTTAGTATATATGTATTGTATGAGAACTTGAGATCTTAAAGAAACTAATATATAAAAGGTTATGTCAATCCAGTTAACATCAATTAATCTTAAGTTGTAAATTCAGAGAACTTAACAAGATATCTGAGCCAAAATAGGGTGGCTCAAAAAGGATTTACTTACCGGTCATAGGATACAGTTCGAGATGGGCTGATACAAATGTGATATGTGAACATGGTTAATATATGTAGTGTTGAAATCTCATATCATAAGTTTAAAAGTACCAATACAGAAACTTAACAACCAATGTTTAAAGTCTTGTTAGATTCTAATTAAATGCTTTGTATCGGATTAGTGCATAGACGGTTAAAGAACATTGGTGTATACAATAGCAAAGAGACAAAGAGTTGTTTATTTATGTTTTTTTTTTAATTTATATGTTAAAAATCGGCTTGAGAATTCAAATTCAGTTACAAGCTCGAGTTGAACAAAAGCTCCTAATTCAATCTATTGTATTCTAGTTTAGCACACCCACTAAATCTGGCATGTTCCACTAGTCTGATAATGAATTGAACAAAAGCTCCTAAGTCAATCTATTGTATTCTAGTTTCGCTCATTCACTAAACCCGATACATTCCACTAGTCTGATTATCGAAATCCTTAAGAATCAGTTGCCGTTCTCACCATTGTTTGTGTTTGTACAGTCAGTTCCTCTATATCTGTCCGAGATGGCGCCAGCTAAATACAGAGGAGCAATCAGCAACGGCTTCCAGCTCTGCATCGGAATAGGGTTTCTAACAGCAAACTTCACCAACTACGAAACTCAAAAGATCAAACAAGGCTACGGTTGGAGAATCTCTCTAGCCACAGCCGCCATACCAGCTTCAATCCTCACGTTAGGCTCACTCTTCCTCCCCGAAACACCCAACAGCATCATCCAAACCACCGGAGACATTCACAAGGCCGAGCTCATGCTCCGCCGTATCCGTGGAACAAACAACGTACAAGACGAGCTCACCGATCTCATCGAAGCCATTACTTCTGAGTCAAACTCAAAACATGGGTTCTTGAACTTGCTTCAGAGAAGGTATAGGCCTGAGTTAGTGATGGCCTTTGCTATACCGTTTTTTCAGCAGGTCACGGGCATCAACGTAGTCGCTTTCTACGCGCCGGTTCTGTTTCGGACCGTAGGGTTTGGAGAGAGCGGTTCCTTGATGTCCACGCTAGTGAGCGGGATCGTGGGGACGGTCTCCACGTTCTTGTCGATGCTTGTGGTGGATAGAATCGGGAGAAAGACTCTGTTTCTGATAGGAGGGTTACAGATGCTTGTGTCGCAAGTTATCATCGGTGTGATTGTTATTGTGGGGCATGAGGAGGTTCACGGTTACGCGGTTGTGGGTTTGGTGTGTGTGTACGTGGCGGGGTTTGGGTGGTCGTGGGGTCCACTAGGGTGGCTTGTGCCGAGCGAGGTGTTTCCGTTGGAGATTAGGTCAGCGGCGCAGAGTGTGACTGTGGCTGTGAGTTTTGTGTTTACTTTTGCTGTGGCGCAGAGCGTGCCGCCGATGTTGTGTAGGTTAGGAGGAGGGGTTTTCTTGTTTTATGGAGGGTGGTTGGTGGTGATGACGGCGGCGGTGATGCTGTTTTTGCCGGAGACTAAGAATGTTCCGATTGAGAAGGTGGCTGGACTTTGGGAGAAGCATTGGTTTTGGAGGAGAGTGGTTAGGAAGCGTGATTCCCAAGGAATCACTTCTGTTAGTATTTAATTTTCTAAACATATAAATCTCAAATGATATGGTGAAACCATTAAAGATGAAAATAAGGGTATGGAAATTGAATTTTGAAGTGAAATATTTACATTTGAATGAAAAATTCACTATTTATTCAAGTATGCAATTTTTAGTTATATAAAGATAGTATTACTGAATTTTAAATAGGGACAATTGCACAAATACCATTTGTTTGATACCATTATTCAATTTTACCACCAATCAAAAGACATTTTCATAAATACACACATTCATTAATATCAAAAGACAATGTTACCCTTGATCTATCTTCTCTTCAATTCGATTCTTCTCTCGGCTAGATCCGCCTTCTCTCTGTCTCATGCAATGGCGACGAAGGAGACTGTTCAGGAGTGCGTGTCGGAGTTCATAAGTTTCATCACGGGAGAAGCGTCGGATAAGTGTCAGAGGGAGAAGAGGAAGACGATCAACGGCGACGATTTACTTTGGGCGATGACGACGTTAGGGTTCGAGGATTACGTGGAGCCATTGAAGGTTTATTTGCAGAAGTATACAGAGGTGGAAGGGGAGAGGATGACGACGACTACACGGAGAGGCGATAAGGAAGGTGGAGGAGGGATGTACAGGATGGGGCATCATTATCAAGGACACGTGTACGGTTGAAGTGGGATGAATTAGAGAATGAGACTGTTGACTCCGTTAATTCGAGATAGCTTTCAAAGCTTTAGATTCACTATATGCCAATGTAAATGTCTTTTGCTGTGCTTCTTATGCAAAGCTTGTGTACTCTGCTTTGGGTTGATTCTTCTCTGTTTTTGATCAGAGCGCCATTCATGTTGTAACAAGTGTTTGATGATTCTATATCATGTACAAATTATTTACATAAAAAGTTGTTGTATTATCATTAGAAGAAGCTGCTGTATTATCTTTGTGTGTGTTTTTTGCAGATGGATTATGTGGCTGTTTTGACCATGGCTTCTAAGTATAGTCATAGAGGAGATGCTCGCTGAAACATCCCAAGTTTGTAAAGTGGAAGTCACTCACCTTCTGAGACACCATCTCAGTTTCTTGTCTTTGTTACATCTTTTTTGAATTTGTTTTTTGTTGGAGCTCAGAGACTTCTAAAACAATCACGGTCCAATCTTGAAAAGAAATGTTTGCAAGGGTAGCCACAGTCAGTGGGCTCATCTGTCTCATCAGTGAATTCTATCACAAGCGAACCACCATCGGCTACGTCAGACAGCATAGAGAGCTCGAAGCTACACTGTTTAAGGGTCGCATGTACTCATAAACCCGTCTACAAGGCTACAGGCTAGGTTGCAAAGGACATGAAAAGGTTGAGAGTTGAGAAGAAGTACATGAAGCAACACATGTACAAGAGAATTTGTGGATGTTACAGTAAAATTTATGAGATCCTTACTGTGTACTTGGTTTATTTTGCTTTTGTACTGTAAGTTCGTGATTCAGGATATAACAAATTTCCCTAATTCTTATCAAATTCCATGCTTAAGCTTTGAAGTTTTTTGCAATTCAAAGTTGTACTTACTTTTTTAATTTGGAATGTGTATTCTGAGAAGCTCTGTTCGTTGGAAACTTTTATTACACGTGAAGGGATTATTCAAGTGCCATACACCACTAAGTTACAAAACCATATTGGATCATATAAAGCATGTTGGAGATGTTCTGAATGTCTTGATAAGAAAGTATGTCTGGCTCTGAGTTCCAGAAGCTTATAGGTGAGAGAAGTCTCAGGCTCCTGTAGAAGACCACAAGTACTTGGATCCAGTCAGAGAACGATGCACAGTGTGTACAGGTGAGTCTCCAGCACTTTACCCAAAGCCTACACTGTACATTGCCATGCGATTGGTCCACGAAGGCTGGCCTAGGGGTGATCTCCCATTTTGTTTCCGGGACTCGGCAAACAGATCAATTTATGAATCTCCCCTGTAGGCTTCACATACATGATCCAGCGTCCCAGTGAAGGTATTAACTGAACCATGTACTGTCTCTTATCCACAGCATTAGCAACATCATTGGCAGTGAAAATTCATGAATATATGTTCATCATCTTAGGGTTCTCTATAATCTTACCCAGCCTCGAACAATAATTCAGAAGGAAAGTACCCTGCAAACGTTGACTCTTGAGCTAACTCTTTTAGTTTCATGTAAATCTCTTCTGATTGAAGATGTGACTTTTCTCCACAAACAAACTCATGAGCACCACCGCTTACTAGAATCAAACTACACCCTGGTATCTTCTTGGTTGCTATGTCCACCATCTTTCTTCTCACTTCTCGCAAATCTTCCCATCTTTCACAAGCTGCAAATATATTGCATAACAACATATGTGATCTCAGCTCGAGTTGGAAGACCATTGACAAGCAATTCAAATAACCTGCTTTGTAGCTCCCATAAGTTTTGTTTTCAAGTCATCACAGCATGTTAAAAATGTTTATAATGGTTTATAAGAATTTAAAAGGGTTTACAAAATCACTTACATGTGCTTATAAAGATTTTATATAGAATTTATAAGGGTTTATAAAGTTTATAAAGGGTTTAAATAAGTTTATTAAAAGTTTATATAAGATTTGTTAGGGTTTATAAAAGGTTTTGAAGAGTTTATATAGGGTTTATAAAAAAAAGTTTATAAAACCATATAAATATTTATATAACTATTTATAAGGGTTTATAAAACCATTTAAAAGGGTGTATAAAACTATTTGCAAGAACTTATAAGCTATTTATAAGAGTTTATACATTTATTTATAAATGTTTATAAATAATTTACAAGGTTTATAAATCTATTTATAAGAGTTTATAAATCACCAAATCAACCAACTTTCCACCATTTCTTTGATTATTTAAGAACATCATTCTTTTACAGTTCATTTTATCTATTCTATTAAAGTAGAATCCTAAATTTTATCTACTTAAAAAATTGTCATTGTGTTAACTAGGATGGACCATTTCAGTATATAATTTGACGCTACATAGTAAATACAATCAGACAACTTAAATTAAACCAAACATCTAATCCATTAAACCAAAACCGATCTCTTAAAGAAAAATTAAATATACTCTATTAAACCGAAGTGTTTCTACTATTAGCTTAACAATACAAAAACTCTAATTAAAGTATTTGTAAGAGTCTTTAAACCATTTATAAAGATTTATAAAACAATTAATAAAATATATAAACCATTAATAAAAACGTTATGAAAAATTATAAACAAATATAAGGGGTATGCATACAATTTACAAGGTTTATTGGTTTATGAATCACTTAGAAAGTCTCTTAAATCATTTATAAGAGGCTATAACAATTTATAAAATTATTTATAAAGGTTTATAAAACTATTTATAAGTGTTTATAAAACTATGTACAAGTACGTATACCTATAGCCATAATGCTCACAACATGTCCAAAAGGTTCAGAGAGCAATTAAAAGGTCCCTAAATCATTTAAAATAATCTATAACCATTTAGAAAGGGTTATAAAACAATTTATAATAGTTTGTATGATAATTTATAACGATTTATAAAGGTATGTATAAATGTTTATAAAAACAATTTATAATGGTGTTAAAAAAAACAATTTATAAAGACTACATACTTTTATAAAGGTTTATAAAACAAACTATAAAAATACGTATAATTATTTGTAAGTCTATGCCATCTATAAAAGCTTATAAAACAAGTTATTAAATCTATAAACCATTTATAAATGTTTATAAGAAAATTATGAAAGCTTATAAATAATGTTTTTTTTATAAATAATGAATATCAAAAAGCATGCTCTTCTTAGAATATCAGAAAATTAATAGAATCTTATATAGTGTTGACAAGTTTTATGAAATAGATATAATAACTCTTATAAGAGAATATATAAAGTCATTTTATAAAGATTTATAAATTGTTCATAATGTTCTTCGACTCGTAAACGGTCCCAACGCATCCTATTCACACACTGTTTTAGAATATCAAAAAGCATTCTCTTCTTAAAATATCAGAAAATTAATAAAATCTTATATAATGTTGACAAGTTTTATGAAATAGATACAAAAACTCTTATAAGAGAATATATAAAGTCATTTTATAAGGATTTATAAATTGTTCATATGGTTTAAAAAGTCATTTATAAGTGTTTATAAACAAATTATAAGGGTTTATAAAACATTTATAAAGTATCTAATATTATAAGAGTTAATATATTATATATAAAAGCTTATATATTATTTATAAAGGTTTATAAGGGTTCAGAAAACTGATTTATCAAATCTTATATATTATTTATAAACAGTTTATAAGAATATATAGAAATTTTTTTATAATAATCAATAAATCATTTATAAGAATATATAAAATTATTTATAAGGGTTTATAAAATTATTTATAAGGATTTGTAGAAATTCTCAAGATAATTCAATTATAAAGTCTTAAAACATTTTATAAAGGCTTATAAATCATTTATAAGAGTTTATAAATCATTTATAAGGGTTTATAAATTATTTATAATGGTTTATAGATCATTTATAAATATTTATAAAATCATTTTTAAATTATTATCAGTTTTTTATATGGCTTTATAAATTATAAACATTATTTTAAAAGCTTATAAATTATTTATAAGACTCATTTTAAATATTTATAATGGATTTATAAATCAATACAAAATGATGTATAAACATTTATATCATAGTGGAGTTCGGCTCTCCAAAGCAACATTTCAAAGATAACTGGTGCCGTACGAAATGCCTTTGCTTTGGTATAGTCATAAAGAGATGAAAAGGGTGGTCGGTCTCAATATGCATAGAGATAGTTGGTACAAAAGATTAAGGTGTCAAGCTGAGACTCAGAGTCACAAATCTCAGCTTGAGGCGTCTTCGGCGTCCTCAACAACGAGTTTTGCCTCACAAAACCCCTAGGAGATGATGATGATAACATTAAAGGACTCTTCTTACTCTCCACCTGTAAATCATCAAACTTCATCGGCTCACAAGACTACTCCTCTTAGCAACGTTAACAGGGGAAGAAACCAAAGGACTCCTTGGAGAAGTAACATCTTCAGAAGCAATGATACTGTTCCTAGCAGGCTTAGTATTAGCCGAAGCTGAACAAGAGCCCCAGGCTTTAAGTATTTGTTATTCGAAGTCTTCAGCTTCTTCTTCCTTGTTGAGATTTTTGAATCTGAATCCTTTGGTGATACCTTCCCCATTATATTTTCTTTTTAATCAAAACAAGTAATAGCCATAAATAGTGTTAAAGAACATAGATATGAGTTAATGCAGAACCTGAGATCGTAGCATTTGGAACAAAAATTTTCTACATTTCCACTTAAATATATTTATTCGTCAGACTAAAGAAAAATTATTACAATATTCATTCAAATACTAGAAAGCTAGCTAGGACATTTGACATCAATCTCTAATTCTCTATTTCCCCTAAGCCATATAACAATGAAACGTAAGTTACCATGTTTCCTAAAAACACAATTCCAAACAATAGTTATCAGTGATTCTGTAGAGCACGTTCTCTAAAAAGCAACACCCACATATCTCCACTGAAGAAACATCAAGCTTTAAAGCAAACTAGTATACCTTGTTATTATATGCGAGCATCCTGATAAAGTATGCAGAGACCTTTACAGTCGCAGGCTGTCCGAGCTGGATTCTGACAAACCATAAGCAAACGATTGATCTTATCTCCCGGTACATGTGACAACATAAAATACCAAGTGATTTAATTGTGTCGAATCAAGGAACGAACGAAACACTCACGCATGCTGGTGAAGGAAGTAGCAGACATAATCCGAGACAACCTGAGAATCAGCAGCCTGCAACAGAAACAACAAGAGCTTGCGGTAGTCAGTGAAAGAGAGCAGAGCAAGAAAACCTAGAAAGCAATGGACTTTCAATAAGAGCATGTGGAAATTAGTAAAACCCAATTGAGTAAAAAGTCTTTAGCAAGCAAAAAGAGTTTTTCTTTTCACATAAAGAAACGAGACATTACCGAACCAGAACGGCAGACGTAGACATTGTCAGTGAGTTGTGTGATCTTGTCTGAAGCCCGATTCGCCACGTACATCCCTGCGCGGAGTAATAATACCAGATTCTTAGGGTAAGCAAAACCGCTACAGCACAATCACGACATTAAGAGCACCAATCAATATCAGGGGACTGTGTTATTACTCTTAAGCAGAGACCTAAACCCAAAATCAAAACTTACTTGCGAATTGGAGACACTGCTCTGATCGATGAGAATCGCCGCCGAGGCAATGCCATCTCCAACATCTTTCACCACACCCTCTTGATCTGTACCACCAACACCCACACCAGGATACACTTACCCTAATCAAAGCTCCACCATTAGGAACTCTCCTTCCATCAAAGTCCTTCGTCACAACTATAAACGTTGACGGTGCACAAGCCGTTCCTCCACCTCTCCCAGCACCGGAAGCAGTGGACTTACTCGGATCCACAGGACCGATTAGTTTCCTCAATAGGTAATCAGATTCATCATCCGAATCGCTTTCGGATTCTGATGAAAACTCCGGTACGGTGGACGACGGAGCAGGTTCAATTAAAGGCGTAGGTTGATCGAAAGTGGCGTCAAAAGCTGCTTTTGTGGCTGCGTCTTTCTCTCCGTCGTCTTTAATGTGCTAGTTTCGCTGGAGTCGTTGAGTCTCGCCGGACTCGTCAAAATTTAGTCGGCGATGAAGAAACAAAAGAGAGGAAGATTAGGTTTATGTTTGAATAATCAAGGGTATTATAGTCCTTTGCTTATCAAAATTTTGAGTGTAAAGTTGATTAATGTAAAAGTGAAATATGGTATCATCAAAGTGCTAGTTTTAGCAATTTCCCTTTTAAATACTGTATAATGTTATTGAACTTGTCATTTTAAAAAACACTGTGAAATCCATCGTTAATGAACACAATTTTATTTAAAGATTAAAATGTTTTCAGAATGTTTAAAATGAATTTACTAGTTATAAAAAATAAAAATTCATGTATCATTGTTTTAGAGTTATTTAACAAAAAGCACACTAATTTTTCAGATTCATATACAATCATCTAAAACTCATTAAAAATAAAATTACTTCACGTTTCATATTCAATACATTTTAAATATAATGTTATTGAACTTGTCATTTAATAAAATATTGTGAAATCCACCTTTAATGAAAAAAAATTAATTTAAAGATTAAAATGTTTTTAGAATGTTTAAAATGAATTTACTAGTTATAAAAATAAAAGTTCATATATCATTGTTTAAGAGTTATTTAACAAAAAGCACACTAATTTTTCAGATTCATATACAATCATCTAAAACTCATTAAAAATAAAATTACTTCACGTCTATATTCAATACATTCTGAATTTGAGTAGTTTTAATATAAAGAGAAAATGACTAGAATAGACCTAAAAAAGTTTTTATCACAAATATAGATCTTAACAATTAAAATGACTAAAATAACACTTAAATATTTTATTAAATATATATTTATACCCATTGGGTTAACTAATTCTACATTTTTTTGTTTAGAGTTGAGGAGTGTGGTTTCAGGGATAGAGTTTCGAATTTAATAAAATTAAGAAAACTTAATATTTTCAAAATAAAAAGTGTCATTTTGGTCATTTTAATTTTTAAGGTCTATTTTTGTGATAAAAACTTAAAAGAGGACTATTTTAGAGAATTGCCCAAATATAAATTAGTGGAATGTAATAGTTAAATGATCAAAATACAAATCTAATGATTTATAATGGGCAAACTTCTCAAATAGATTTTTTAAAAAAGTTTTTATCACAAAACTAGATTTTAAAAACTAAAATGAGCAAAATAATATTTTTTATTTTAAAAATTTTAAGTTAATTTTTAAAAGTTGAAACTTTATCTCCAAAAGCTCATATCCTCAACCCTAAACAAAAAAATTCTAGCATTAGTTAACCCAAATGATATAAATATATATTTACTTATTTTTTATAAAATATTTAAATCTATTTTCGTCATTTTAATTTTTAAGGTCTATATTTCTTACAAAAAAAAATTTCGGTCTATCATAGGAAATTTGTATTTTATAATTTCAGAGTGTTTTAATTAAAATCAATATAACATTCATACTTCACTCTAAAATTATTTAAAAACTCTATAAGTGTTCACATTCTAATCATGTCTATCTCGTAATGAAAAAAATATAAAAATAAGGGTCACAAACGTAAATAAATAAAAGTATGAGGATCAATGAACACGGGAATCTTCTGAGATAACTTGTGCCCAAAATCGAATCTCCGATAAGAAGGAAGAAGTCGTCTTCCATACGAGAAGCAATACCATTCTCGACAATAACTAAATTTGATCAGATTCTCCAACCCATCGCGAGATCAAAACAACGATAATGTTTACGCAAAAGCTTCACGAAGCATTCAAAGGCACGGTGGAGAGGGTCACAGGTCCTCGCACGGTCACGGCTTTCAAGGAGAAAGGAGTACTCAGCGTCAGCGAGTTCGTGCTCGCCGGAGATAATCTCGTCTCCAAGTGTCCTACTTGGTCATGGTTAGTTTATAAAGTTTGAGTCTTTATTGATGTGTTGTGAAAATATAAAGTTGAGATTTTTAATTTTAGGGTTTGTGAAATTTGCAATTATAGGATATGGGTTTGCTGTAAAATTGATCGTTGAGGTGTATGGGTAAATGGGTCTTTCTTGTTTGAGGATAAAGCTGTTGACTTTTAGCATTTTAATGAAGAATGTGAGATACAAAGTCGAGATTTTTGATTTTAGGGTTTGTGAAATTTGCAATTATACGATATGGGTTTGCTGTAAAATTGATCGTTGAGGTGTGTGGGTGAATGGGTCTGTCTTGTTTGGGGATTTGACTTTTAGAGTTTTGTATACAATTTTTTACTGATGACTGATGAATGTGAAATACAAAGTCGAGATTTTTAATTTTGGGGTTTTTGAATTTTGCAATTATAGGATATGGGTTTGCTGTAGATTTGATCGGAGAGGTGTATGGGTTAATGGGTCTCTCTTGTTTGGGGATGAAGCTGTTGACTTTTAGTGTTTTGTAATGTGAAACACAAAGTCTCGATTTTTAATTTTTGAGGTTTGTGAATTTTGCAATTATACGATATGGGTTTTGCTGTAGACTTGTTTCCGGAGGTGTATAGGTGAATGGGTCTCTCTTGTTTGGGGATAAAGCTGTTGACTATTAGTGTTTTTTACTGAAGAATGTGAAATAAAAAAGTAGTGATTTTTAATTTTGAGGTTTGTGAATTTTGGAATTATACGATAAAGCTATTGGCTTTTGTATGCAAGTTTGTGAGATTGTTATTAGATCAATCAAAGTTATGACTTTTAGTGATGTGTATTGGGTATTGGGTTTTGTGTTTTTGGTATATGACTTCAGGGAATCTGGTGATCCAAGCAAAAGGAAGCCATACTTACCTTCTGAGAAACAGTTTTTGATTACTAGAAACGGTGAATCTTTAGAGCTTATTTTATATTTGATTTGTTGTTTTATGTATTATGCACATTCTCTTAAGTTTATGGGTTTGAGCAGTACCTTGTCTACGGAGAGCTGCATCTGTGGCAGAGGAATACGAAGCTGCTGGAGGTGAAGTGTTGGTTGATGATGAGGATAATGATGGTTGGCTAGCGACACATGGGAAACCAAAAGGTGGAGATTAATTTAGTGCCTTTCCAAGTTCACTTTTCTCAAAGTTTAATCTTTTGTTTTGATGTTTGCTATAGATAAAGGCAATGAAGATGAGAACTTGCCGTCCATGGATGCCTTGGATATAAACGAGAAAAGTGCTATACGATCAATACCTACTTATTTTGGAGCTGAGGAGGATGATGATATTCCAGATATGGAAGAGTTTGATGAGGCTGACAATGTGGTGGAAAATGATCCGGTGAGTTTTTTTTTGTCTTTTCAGTTTGCACTCAATTTTTTTTGGTTGATTGCTCTTTGATGAATGTATTTTTATCCTTCATTGAGTCTAGGCAACTCTTCAGTCAACTTATCTTGTGGCTCATGAACCTGATGACGATAATATTCTCCGAACTCGGACATATGATATCAGCATAACGTAAGCATCATCCTGCGTTTCTTTTACACTCAAAAAATCTCCTCACTGCATTGTTTTTTAGATACATCTCTCATACTAGGCAAACTCATAATTTTTTCACTTTGGTTCAGGTATGATAAGTATTACCAAACTCCTCGTGTTTGGCTGACCGGTTATGATGAGGTTAGCTTCTTGTTCATACCTGTTTCGTTTTATTTTTTCATCTTAGAACTCTTGAATGTTGCTGCTTGTTTATGTTGCCTGAAGAGCTGTGATGTATCCATCTTGTAGTCAAGGATGCTGCTGCAACCTGAACTTGTGATGGAGGATGTAAGCCAAGACCATGCTCGTAAGACGGTAAAAATGAGACTAATCTAAACTTTCATTAAATAAACTTTGTAAATCCTCTGAATCTGACCGATATAGATTATTTATGCGATCCTTAAAAATATTACACAGGTCACAATTGAAGATCATCCACACTTGCCTGGGAAACATGCTTCAGTCCATCCATGTCGACATGGAGCTGTTATGAAGAAGATCATTGATGTATTAATGTCCCGTGGAGTAGAACCTGAAGTTGACAAGTGAGTGAGTTTATATTGCAACTAGCTCTTATATAGTTCATTAGTCCTTTCTGGTTACACCCTTTGCTATTTTCACAGGTATCTCTTCCTGTTCTTGAAGTTCATGGCATCAGTTATTCCAACTATCGAGTATGATTACACAATGGACTTTGATCTCGGTAGCTCAAGCACCTAATAGCAGCAGGTGAAATCTCACTGTCTATTATCCAAGAAGCATTCACTTGTTGTCATGGATGGCTTGGTGGCTCTGCATTGTACATAATAATTGTCATCATTTTCTTTTCTCTTCAAAAGAAACTGCAAGGTGTTGTGTTTTTATTCATCTGAAGTTGCTATTGATACTAGAAAACAAAATGTGAATGTAACTTTGTTTCTCACATCTAATTTAATGTGTTTTGGTACACTCTTGCTTTGGAAAATTTGGAACCAATGTATAATTGTACATTGTGATTGCAATCACTGTTTTCTTTTATTACACAATAGTAAAGCAAGCCATGAACCATGAGTTCATAGTTTAGCTGAGTGTTTACTGTTTAACACTATCTAGCTCTTGCGGCTCTGGTTACGAACACGATAAGCAGAACAACAATGGTGAGCAGAACCGTCATTTGAAGCTTCTCCATCACAGGCGCAGCACCTGTAGCTAACACAACCGTCTCATCATCTCCAGGAACAACCGTCTCATCATCTCCAATGAAGAGGTCAGTGACATACTTTGTGACTCCTTCCATTGCGTCCATGATTTTGATGGCACTTCTCTGAAGCAACCTCCTTATGAAGTTCATAGATATACCAGTCTCTTCTTCTGACCTCTCAGCTGCGTTTCATATAATCATCTGTTAGAACCAACCACAGTCCATAGATCTTAAACATGTCTTACCGTCTGTAATGAGCTCCCTGACAACTTCATTGTTCATCACAGCATCCCAAACAGCCCTGTCTGAAGCCAATGACATAACCATTCTCTACAACAATAGACACCCTCTCAGTTACATCTTTGGCAAATGATGAAACTCAATATAAAAAACAACACAGAACCTGAACTGATGGATCTGTCTGAAACATATGAAAGGCGTCATAGAATCTGTCCACCATATAAGGCTGCAGAAGACTAGTATTACAGAGCTCAAACGGAGGCTCAATCCAATCTACAAACTCTGACTCTTTATCATCATCATCATCATTGAACATCCTAATACAGATAAAAAGATAACTTCTTTCAAATCTTGAGACACTTAAAAGACTTGTAAAGAAACAACCTTTTCAAAAAAAACTCACAGTTGAAGTGCAGAGAAAGCATCTTCAACTTCCTCAACCTCCGGAGCTTTATCCGTGTTTACATCAGCCTCTCTTTCTACAGCCACCCACTCAAACTCATCCCTGTCACCGTTCAACGAATCAATCACAGCATCAGAATCTTCGAAAGTTTGCAGCTGCTCTCCGCCGCCGTTGGAGATTCTGGTGTCCATTTACGCCGCCTAGTTTTCTTGCTCTATAAGCCGAAAACGGCGTTTACTATTTATTATTACTTGCAAGTTATTACATAAGTGTTTTAATAAAGGAACAGTTATTATTTTTTAAGTCTTACATATTTTCTGTTTGAGGTCTCATACTTTCTTTCTTTTTATAAATTGGCCGTATACTTGTACAGTAAGAATAAACAAACCTATTACCTTTAGAATAGTTATTTTAAAATCCTAATCGGGCCACAGATCCCCTTCTTATTATTTGAGGAGAACTTTTGCAAATAAACCTTTACTTCATGTGTTTATTACATGCATGCCATTTCCTACGTGGCAACTCCACAAGCCTTCTCACACCTTTTAACTAAAAGACCTTAGTTAACTAGAATAATTACACAACATGCCATTGATATAAATATACATATATGACATATATGACATATATGATATAACAATAAAGACATGCATATACTCGGCATATAGTTAATTAAATTTCCTTATATATTTTGTTACATAAGTATGATATATTTCCTGATATAAGTATTTTGTTACATGTACGATATATTTTATGTATATTATTCTCCATGTAAATATTGTAAATGTAAAACATGCATATAGAATGATTTTGGTACATGTTATTGTACGATTTATTCAAATTCAAAATATATTTCGTTACATAAGTATAAATAAAAATAGGAGAAAAATGCGACCTTATTTCATAATTAGACATATATTTAAATTTTAAATATAATATTTTATATTTTATAAAATCGAACTTTATATTTTATATTTCGACAATATTCGATGTACAAAATACTATTATCTTCAACTTCAAAATATATTTCGTTACATAAGTATAAATAAAAATAGGAAAAAAATGCGACCTTATTTCATAATTAGGCATATATTTAAATTTTAAATATAATNAATATAATATTTTATATTTTATAAAATCGAACTTTATATTTTATATTTCGACAATATTCGATGTACAAAATACTATTATCTTCAACTTCAAAATATATTTCGTTACATAAGTATAAATAAAAATAGGAAAAAAATGCGACCTTATTTCATAATTAGGCATATATTTAAATTTTAAATATAATATTTTATATTTTATAAATCGAACTTTATAAAATATTTCGACAATATTTGATGTACAAAATACTATTATCTTCAACTTCAATTAACATTAATGACCGAATCTGCATGTGTATTTCAGTTTCCCTTATATGCACTAACCATTGATGTTATTGTATTCGGATATTGAATGATTATATTTCATACATCGTCGAATGTCAACTAAAATTAATGACCGAATCTGCATAGATATTTCTAATATTGAATGAATATATTTCAGTCACATAATTTTAGCAACTAAATCTCGGAATTTTTTTATTAGGTAAACGGTTTAATGGTTTCTTTCCATTTGAATGTCAATCAACTATATATAATATTCTGAATTAAATGATATTTCCGTTGACATCATATATAAACCTTCTTGGTGTCTCTAATATTGAATGAATATATTTCAGTCACATAATTTTAGCAACTAAATCTCGGAATGTTTTTATTAGGCAAACGGTTTAATGGTTTCTTTCCATTTGAATGTCAATCAGCTATATATAATATTTTGAATTAAATGATATAGCCATAAATTGGAATTTCCTTGATAGACAAACGCAAATCGCAAATGTAAATGCTATTTAAACATATATAACTCGAGTTCTAAAGGTCCATTCGATATTCAGACAAGCAAGAATAAACCTACACATCTTCTATGGCCGCCATGAACCTTATATATGAGTTGAAGCCTTTCAAGAACCAATGGAAGGTTCAAGTGAAAATTGTCCGCCTTTGGAAAGAGTATTCTGCAGTTGCTGGGGAGACTATCGAAATGGTCTTCCTCGATGCTAGAGTAAGTTAAATTTTTTAGAAATGATCGAGTTTTATTATATTTCTCTTTTTGACGTATGAAGTTTACTTATTTAATTTAATATTTTTTGAAATATGTTATTATACATTGATCATAGTAATGTTGTCGTTAAGTGTGTTGCATATGGAGCACTTTCTCATGTTTTTCACACCATATGGAATTCGATTAACGAGAATGTTGTACTGTGTGTTTTACAATTCTGACAAATTAATTGGGGAGCAGGTAATATATTTTTATAATTTTAAATAAATAGTCTATTTAATTTTATATCACATTAGAAAATAGCTAATAATTTTTTTTGTTTAATAATGATAAGAAAAATTGAAGAATATCTCAAACATCGATGACTTTTCAAAAATCATTTTTGAACCAGATGATGTTCCAGAACTCCATGTATTGAGGAAGAAGTATATCATTTCGATGAGTTTAAAATATTAAAAGAGTGTGTGTTGTTTCGTAAACTAACTAATTGTTATTTTTGTATGTAGGATTGCAAACCAAGAGTTTTGAAGACAATTTAAATTATTATATCATGTTTAATTTTCTATTTATTATTTTATTTTAATATACTTTTTCCTCATTATATCATTTTTTGTTTCTCTATGTTTTATTATGATATTAATTATTTTAATTTATTTACTACTTTTTTTAGTAGACGATTTCTTAATTTTTTTGTATCATCATGTATCTATAAGACAAACAGATATATAAGACAAAAAGTGAAAACAAATAGCTATGAATCAATGCTTCGTTTCGCAGCTATACTAATATCTCATTATATGACTATATGATTTTTATTACTAATTCACATCCACTAACTATTTTTAGTTAAACAAATTAATATACCAAATTATTGTTCGATCAAAGTTAAAATAATCTCACCCCGCGCAAGGCGCGGGTCAACACCTAGTTGTTTGTTAAGTCGGAAAGAGATCGTCACTGGATTATGGCAATAGATCTCCTTTGAGGCCTATAGTGAAGCTCTGCATAACAGAGGATACAATTATCACCGAATGTGGTTTATTAAGAACATCTTTAACCTTCTAAGAGTCAAATGGCTCTTAGATTTTATTTTTTTTTTGGGTTTTTGTCTGATTTTTTTTTTTTTTTTTTTTTTTTTTTAAAAAAAATCAATCACAGATTACCACATATCAGTAGATTTCGTAAACAGTGCAAGAACCAAACTCATAAAGAAAAGGTTTCGGAATCAACTCTTAAGAAAATTGTAGGATTCACCTCTTAAAAACCTTCTTAAGAAGCAGGTTTAAAGGTGTTCTTATCTTCTTCAAATGAAAATATTAATATGAAATTAAGGATATGTTGTTTGAATTATAAGAAAACAGCCATGTTGTTGTACCAATTTTTAGCCAAACAAAAAAAAGAAGAATTTGATGAAAATCTTGATTCTGATTAGAAAGTTGACAGAGTGTTACCATTATCTCTGAAGTTATAAAAATGAAATATGATTTGTTGCTAGTTGTGTTTCAAAAAAAAAAAGATTTGTTGCTAGCCTCTGTTCTAAAAATCGGCCGCCTAGCCGCCTAGGCGCTAGGCGATCCTCTTCCGCCCCGATTTATGCCAAATCGCCGTAGAAAATCGGTCGTCCGATTTTAACCCGCCTAGACCGCCTAGATGACCGCCTAGCCGCCTAGGCGGCTGCCTAATCCCTTTTTTTATTTTTTTTATTTTTTAATAATATTTTTTATATATTTATTTGTTTTAAAAATTAATAAATTATAATTTTGATGAAATTATATCATATTAACTTTGTATATTCTATTTTTGTGTGTTTATAAGATTCTAAACATGAAAACGTATTATTGTTATACACAATTAAAGATTAATATATCTTATAACATATCAAATAGTCTAAAAATTCCACCCCGTATAATTCCCGCTTAATCCCCGATTTTCACTCTAGGCGCTAGACCCAATCGAGCCGCCCGACTAGCGCCTAGCGCATTCTTGAACATGGTTGCTAGCTATAAAGGCTTTGAAGAATATTACAATTGTCTTTAGAGTTTCGGAATGTGGTTACAATTTACTGTTGAAGAGTGGTTCAATGTTCACAAGTTCATTATTTCTGACCAACAAGTTCAAATTTATATAAATGTTGAGCCCACTTAGAGTGTAATATGCAATCTTCTGGTTCCAAGTTCCTACTTGTTGTTTGGTTGGGGGAAATGGCTTTTCCACCGTTTCAACGATCAAATCATTTATAATTTGGTTGTATACGAAACAATCTAAAGAATCTATATGTTTTTTTCCCTTATCTTTTTGTTGATAGGGTCTCAGAGTTACCATCTATGTCCATTCAAGTCTTTCCAAAATGTTGGTTCTACAAGATAGGGGAAAAACTGGTTAAATCTATCTAGTTATATATGAACAACTTGGGCCCGTTATAACTCATACTCAAAAGCTAGGACTCAAGAAATGTTTACATTTTGTGTTATAAAACAAAATAATTGTGTAGAGTGTAGAGTCTGTAGACTATCAACTTCAGTTCTTTACATCAATTTGAGTTCACAGACGAGTGACTAAGAACAAAAATCGACTCTGGTTACAGAAAAAGAAAAGGTCAATGAGCATATGGGCTGTCCTCCATTTCTCAACCATTTTCACCCCACACATCATAACATCTTATTTTTTAAAATGTGGGAAAATAAAGAAAGAAAAGACAAGGTTTTGAAATGAAAAATGATGATTAGGGTTGTTGATTCAGGATCCCGTGGAAATACTCATCTTTTTCCAAAAAGTATATCATCTCTTTTCCATGAACAACATGATTACATGTTTTGATAAATTAATTTTGTTTGTTTTTATTCATTGGCTCTACCGTCTAAATCTGCTTAACAACTTTGAAATATGTTATGGAATTTCATAGGTGAATGGTAATGCATTATTGCCACTTTAAATGTGCTCATAACTTCAAGCTAAAGCGTCTATGTGCCCACAACACATATGACAAAATAAAAGCATGGGCCATGTATATTAAATTTGTTCAAATATCATAAACTAATATGAGTGTGTTAACAAGATGAAAAAAACTAATTTGAGTGTTTTTAAT